GCCAACATGGAGAAGAGTTGGTTCTAAGGGTAAAACTGGGTCCTCACGATCATTGTTTGAGCCACTGATCAAGTTATAGCTTAAACATTGGTATGGTCTGCATGTTTACATTTCCCCAAAATTCATATGCTGACACCCTAACCCCCAAAGTGATGGTATTTGAAGGTGAGGTCTCGAGAGGTGATTATGTCATGGGGACAGAGTCTTCATCAATGGGCTCAGCGTCCTTACGAAAGAGGTCCAAAAGAGCTCTTGCACCCCTTTTCACCGTGTGAGGACACAGCAAGAAAGCGTCATCTATGAACCAGAAAGTGAACCCTCACCAGATACTGAATCTGCCAGCACTTTTATCTTGGACTTCTCAGACTCCAGAACAGCCAGAAGTTTCCATTGGTTATAAGTTACCCAGCTTATGATATTTTGCTTTAGCAGCTCCCAAGGGTAACACAAACACATTGTCTGGAACAGATGAAGAATCAAAGGATAGAAGTGCATTCTTTACGCTGGATCATAAGCAGGAATAGCGCCTGTTACCCCCTTGAAGGTGGCGACTCAAGCATCATAACTTGGAAGACTTTCGCTGGTGGTAAGCTTAACTTCTGTCCAATAACTTAAAAGTAAAATAGAAGAATGAGGATTTTTGTTTTATTTCTTTTCATGACTAATTAGATAGAACAGAGTTGGTTAACTAGAGAACATATATTTATTATACAGACTATTTTTGTTTACATAAAATGTTTTTAATTATACATGTTCAACTTATGAAATGTTATAGATACAAACAAAATTTAAGTTTACAGAGCAAAAGCAATCATCTCTGTCCAGCATTCAAAGATAGTTTTAGCAGATACTTGTGTAAAGTGTCACCTTGCATAATTGACCTAGAAGTGGCCTTGTAGAATCAAAAATTATTCATAAGGGGAGATGCTTTTGTAATAAGACATTAGCATTCAAGAAAGAATAGGTTTGAAAAATATAAATGATTTATTTATTAATTTATTATTATTTAATTATTAATTTATTATTTATTAAATTTTTTCTTCTCATTAAGGATATATAAAAATATATATAGGAAAAGTTATCTCATTAAAATAATAAACCTATCTAGTAGTAGAAAACTGGCTTCTCTGATCTTCCTTTCCTCCTACAGTATTACCTCTTTATTCTCTCTTGAGAAAGCCATTCTGGATTCATGGTTTCATTTTTAGCTTGACTCTGACATGTGAACTAGAAAGATATTGCTTTTCATTATTATACACTGACTTTACATTAACTCTATTTTATATAACACTGCTCTTGTAAAAAAGACATCAGAAATGAGTGTTAAAAGAATTTTGAAGATTTTAAAAGTTACATACTCTCAGATAATGAGGAAAGAAGAAAAGAACCTTAAGATTCTATAGCATATGTAGAAAATGATCAGTAACTCCTCAGGCACAGGTCACTGCCGAAATCATCAAGGGTAAGGCCCGGGCAGCTGAGTGTCCTGAGAGCAGCAGCTGCTCCCGCTGCTGAGCTGCTGGGCTGAGCCACTGTTGGCGCTGAGCCGACCGTTCCCAGCGGACGCCCGAGCCCCCGCGCCACGCGAGCATTTCCCGCGGATTACCGCGCTCCACCTCAGGGCTGCGAAGATTCTTGTGTGCCAGGACCTCACCCATGGCTACGGAGAGAAGAATTCTCCACAGGAAATAACTAGCACCTTGTGACACATGCAAATATACTACAACTCCAGCTGGAGCAGTGTGGGCGCGTACGGGAGATGCGCCGGGCACGGCTGGCAGGGAGAACCGCGGGCCCTGCTGGCTGGGACGGGAGGCCGTCCGCGGAGGGGCGCCGTCCTCAGAGGGGCGCCGTCCTCACGGAGGGGCGCCGTCCCCAGAGGGGCGCCCGCAGCCGCACTCGCAGTCCGCCCGGGCGCGCTGCGCAGCGATGAGCCCGGTCTGCGCTTGTGTGATGAGGAAAGCTTGAAAGCACTGAAAGCTTGTTTTATTTTACAGGCAGTTTTACTTGTAATGGAAATCAGAATAGGTGACATAGAAATAATCTTTTATTTTTAAATGTTCACAATTTTGATAAACGAAAAATTAGAAAAGTCATATCACGGCTGTCGGCTAAAGTCGATGTGCGTGTTCACCTCTGGCTATCGACTGTCGTCGTCGCTGGCACCGAAGTGGTTAAACAGTCCCCAGGACAGAGCGCCCATGAATGACAGTGGCTCCATGCTTCCATGTTCCAGTGGGTCAGACTGATGGTCTCCCAGTTACATGCTAGCTCTGACGTCAACGCCTGCATGGTTCTAAAGAGCATGAATAGGGTGCTGGGGCAGAACAGCAAGCAACCATGGAGACCCCGCGGGCCTGGCGTCTAGGAGGGGGTTCTCGGCGGGGCGGATGGATGGGCGAGCCGCCAAGCGTGCGTCCGTAGCGGCGCGGGCTTCGCGGTCAGCGGAAGAGGCACAGCAGGAGTCTGCTGCTGCCCGCACGTTATGTTTTGGATGAAATCATTCATCATCATAGACAAGACCTTTGGTGTTTACACCCTGATAACAGAGCCTGTCCTGGTTCCTTATTAAAACAGATCATTAGTAGGAATTAGGACAGTTTTCACAGTCCTCCTCTGCCCCTTTGAAAAAGATCTTGTTCATTGGTTCTCAACCTCTAATTACAGATACATTGATTTTTTCCTTTTTTTAAAAATTCATATTATGGGGGTACAGATATTGTTAGAGCCACGCAATTCTAGAATTGAAAATAAAAGCCAATTAGATCTTTAACCAAAAAAACCCAAAACACCAAAAACAAGTACATTGAGAAGTAGTTGTAGATATGACACTCCTTTACTCCTAAATATTTATATTTCCTAAAAGCATTGATACTTTTAGAAAACCACAATGCAAAGTTTAAAATCAGTTAACTGTGATAAAAACTATTATCTCATCCACAGACTTTATTCAGATATTGACAGTTGTCCCAGTAACATCCTTTACACAGTAAAAGAAAATCCTGGATTACGCATCTTTGTAGGAGAAATACTTCAAAATGCTTCCTTACATATCATGACGTCATTGATAACGTTATATACATATGATTTCAAAACCTTCAAGCCAATGCCCCAATTGTACTATATAAGAGAAAGAAAAGTCAGGGGATTTGTTATTAAATAATGTGTGCTATAGGTGAATTGAGTGGGTTTGGCTACACTACTTGTGTTTCAGGAGATTGAGACCCTACTTGATCCAGAAAATTTAGGCTGGAACCTAAATCATCTGCACCACATGGATAATCTGCATTTGCCCCATTCTTCTGTCCTTCCCACCACCTGAGCTGTCTTCCTTTTTGTCAAAAGCCAGTTCCTCAACCTGTGCCTTCTGTCGATCCTCTTCTCAACTTCTCTGGCCACTTTATGGGTACCTTCCCCCTTATCTGTTACATCTTTTCCACCACTCCCCCCCCCCCCCCCCGCAAATGGCTCGTGGTTCTTCCTTCCTAACAACCATTTCTCTGCTCTGTGACCCCCCCCTTTTCTCACTGGCAAACATGAGAGATTTGTACACGAAACTGTAGTGTAGGCATCTTTCATTCACTGCTCTGTTTTATGGTCATTAAAAGATCCTGCGAGGATGCGACCTGCCTTCCAAGGAGTGCATAGTTGGATTACAGAGATGACGTGTGTAGCCAGTGTCAATGTTAGTGGGATGTTGTAGGTGAAGAGAAGTGATGCAATGCAGATAGTTTTAGAATCTCCCAAATTGTTCTTTCCTGCAATTTGCTCTTGAGAGTTTTAAATTTTCTCTTGGAATATTATGTTGATAACTCAGATAATTTTGAGTCCCTATGGTTCAATTTTTTTTATTTTAGCACACTATAGGGGTAACAAATGTTAATATGGTTCAATATCTATTGTTTTCCTCAGCTTTGTCTTCTTGTCCTCTTAATATTGGTGATTTTTGGTTTAATACTATATATAAGTATTAGAGATTGATGTCAAATATTATCCTACAAAGAATACTGTGGGGGATTAACAATTCAGATGATTTAAAGATGGTGTTCTGTTCCCGGGAGTGCTTGTGTGCTTCAAGCCCTTCTGAGGGTGTATGCCCGAACTTCTCAAATCAAGGAGTGTGCAAGTTAACTGCAACGCTCCACACAGGTGCTTGGACTTGAGTTTTTCAACATGGACTGCAAGTCTGTCAAAATCAATCCAACTTCTTGTTCAACTTCCTCTTCTGGAATTTATGCCATAAAAAGTAGTCCCATACACGAGGGCCGTGTTTTCTGGATTTCCGTCAGCCAGATATTGGTACCATGTTTTTTTTCTCCCTTTGTCCTTTTTAATACTATTCAACATTGTCTTAGAGTATTTTGTCCATCTTTGAGATGTACTCATGGGAGGATTGACTTGTATTCACTACTGCCAGTCAGGAAGTTTATTTAAGTTGTCGTATTGCTGAATAGGCCACATGCATTCCCAACAGACCTTTAATTAGCACCGTCCAATCCCCGCGCAATAAGGTGAAACTTATGTACTTGATACATTATGGAAAAATTTATCTATAAGCCTTTAAGACAGTAAGACTTTCTTCTGGAAATACCAAATATATCAAGCTTCCTTCATCTAACTTATAAAAATAGACTAATGGAATTAGATAATCTCCTAGTCACAGCAATATTTTTTTATTTTAAAAGATTTTCTCTAGTCAGTGGACTAAAGGCTAAGAACATTTTAAAAATAATGAGATTTAATTCAGTGATTTTAACATGAATACCTTTAATTCAGTCACATTTTAAACTTAATACTGTTAGGAATATGTGATATGTATATATACTATATTTAGAGCAAACATTCAGAAAGTTTTACTTTGTTCCTTCCAAATGGTTGTTTTATCATACAAATCAAATTACAAATTCAGAAAAGAACATTTCGACTTAGCTTTTCTTAAATTATGACCCATATCCTATATCATGTGTTTTTCCACCGCTGGCAGTACCATGACAACTGGATTCCAGTGTTTTCCTAATAAATGTTTTAATATTTTAAGACTGGTTTACATTACAAGCCTAAATTAACAAAGCAATTATGCTGTTTGTAAACATACCATTTTGGACATATTTGAAGTTAATCTCCACCCACATCCCCAAAGTACCACTATTTAGGAGTGTAAGAAAAGGTCCTCACAGATTGTTTCCTGAATCTATTTAAAGATAGTTGTAGTAAGTAGAGAAAAAAAAAGTTCAGGAAAAACATAGTAGCTTCCCTGAAACAACTTAAGACTCTTATTTTTTTTTTTTTTGAACTCAAGGACAAAGCAGAACTTAAGACTCTTATTATGGTATAGCTAACATAATAATGTTACTGGGAACATGCCCAATAGAATAAATTAAACAGAAATGCTAACAGCTCTTGATTTCCCTTCTTTGTGGAAAAGGTGATATGTCTTCCTGTTCCTAAGGGTCTAACTTTTATATCACCAGTATCACTATATTCAATCCTTCATATTTAACTTAGCAATAGGTCACTTCTTTGAAGGACTAAATATTAGGTAACAAATCCCCATCTAATTTTGTTTTTATAACTTTTCTTCTTTAAAAACAAATTTCAAAGAGCTTTCCAAGTAGGATTTACTTATTCACAGATGTACTCCCTATGTGACTAATATCCAGTCTTTTCATTATTAAAGTGGCATTCGTTGGGATCAAAATACTTAGGTGTGTATAATTATGAAGTCTTTGTGACATGTTTGAAGGGTAAATTGCTAGCCAAACCCTGTCAGTTTTCCTCCTGGAAAATTCATCTTGTGTAAAGTCAGTGATAGTACTGAAAAGCAGAATGTACTACTGAGAACCTCTCATATCGAGTCAAGGGCTAGAATTTAAAGCTATGGATCTAGGAAAATATTTCAGACACCCAGCTTTAAAAGCGAAAACAGATTTACAAGTTGTAGTTTCAGCATCACCTCAGGCCTTCTTCTGTAGGTCAAAGGTAATAGAGAAAGGTCGACAGTAAACCACTTGGTTGTTCGTGAATACTCTGGCCCACAAGGTAAGCCAGTTTATGGGCATAGTGGCAAGGAGCAGGAACTCGAATGAAACCCTTTGGTAGAAAGAAAAAGTAAACTGAGGATTTTTTTCATTTTATGTCTACTTTCCCTAAATTTAAATTTTCATAGAAGTCAATTCAAAGGTTCAAAATTGTACAGTTTTGAACAGTACATTTTATAGATCTGAAAGGAAATCAAAACCAAAAAATACTTACTTCGCAATTATAATACATGCGGCATAGGCTGTAAGTTAAACGTTGTACTGTATCTGGACTCAAGCAAACCTTGTCATAGATGACATTATAGTGAGTGGGGGTAACAGTCCCTTCTGGCGCAGATTGACTCACAATAAAAAAATCATACCTGGAATTATAGAACATGTGGATATCAGCTTATTTTAGAAAAAGAACATTGTAAAACTTAGTACATGAAGACATTTAGTGTTAGTTTACAGAAATCCATTCTATAGAATTTCTACATTTAGAAACCTAACAGGTGATCACTGACTTGATAAAGGACACTTAAGTCATTGACACTAATAAGAATTGATGAGATTTATAGTTAAAGTACACATACGGAAGCCTAGAGCAGGGGTCCTCAAACTTTTTAAACAGGGGGCCAGTTCACTGTCCCTCAGACCGTTGGAGGGCCAGACTAGACTTTAAAAAAAACTATGAACAAATTCCTATGCACATTGCACATATCTTATTTTGAAATGAAAAAACAAATGGGTAAAAACACCCGCATGTGGCCCGAGGGCTGTAGTTTGAGGACGCCTGGCCTAGAGGAACAAACAAAATTGGCACATTTGACATGGCTGTAAGTAACTAGATTCAGAGATCCCTGGATGAAGCCACCTGCCTCTTCCTGAGAATCACTAGAATATACTCAAATCCTCTAAATGATATAACTGGCAAGTTTGAACTATTCATATTATAAAATACTGGAATTTTATGTTGTGCTCCGTTTCATACTTTTCATTTGCTTTGTTCTTTAATCCTTTTCTGCTAACAGCACTCGATTGATTCTGCCTTTTACTTTTTCCTGTCTATTGGGATGTTTTATTTCCCCACTGGTTTCCACAAACTTTCATTTGCATAATTGACTTCAGCCTAAAGTTCATCAGAAGTTCTACCATTGTTCCTAACTGAACTGAAAATGCTTTAACCCTATAACTCCTTTCCTATGTAAATATTGTTTGGTATTTTAATCTTGTTTTAATGTACCCTATAAATTAGTCATTTCTGAAGTCAAAGCATTTTTATATTCATCATTTTATACTCATCATTTTCTTTTTGCATCTCAATTCCTTAATTGGGCAGTTTTCTTTCTAAAATACAAATTTTGGGTAGTTCTCAGTGAGGGTCTGGTAGATCTGTTAATGTATGTACATGTTTAACAGAATGTATTTCACTGTCACCCTTGATAGCTATTACACCAGAATTTGATACCCAAACCTATGTTTTAGCATTTTAAAGATTTCATTGTATTCTTGTTTCTACTGTTAAATAATTTTTATTTGTAAATATATTATTCTTCTGGCTGCTTTTAAGAAAAATTATAGTGAAACTTCAGAAATCTAAGTGTGAACATTTTTTATTGCTCCTGTTCAAGTTCTATTATTCTTCAATCTGAGAGTTCAGACTCTCAGGCTGTCTCCCCGAGTATCGCTCTACCTTATCACATCTTATCTTCCACACGAGCTGCTAGTCGATATATAGCAAGTCTTATCTTGCCTTACATTTTTCATAAACTTTTCTTTCACATTTTTATGTCTCTCCACTGTATTATAGGAATGTTCTGAATGTATTTCCAGTTAGTTATTTTCTTTTGTGTCTAATCTGATCTTTAACCCTTCTATTGATTTTCTTCATTTTGACTATATCAGTAGATATTCAGTGTTTTAGTTTTCTTCATGACCTTTATTCCATTGTTATATCTTTTTCTCTCATTTAAGAATACTATTACATAGAATGTCTTCAAACATCTCATATTTTGAAAGTTTTTGAGTGTCTAATCCTAAGGTTTTGTCTGCTGGTTCTCACATTCATTCATGGTAGATTACTTTCTCCTAAGGAAAAAAAAAAATCCCAAATCACTGGAATTACATTATTTCTACGAATAACAGGGCTGACCACGTAAAGCCGAATGTGGTATTTTTGCTTACAGAATACATTTACAAAATCTTTTACAGAAGAGAAACCGGTCTCATTTCACATGTTACCCCCTTTAAAAACAGAAAAACCATTTCAAAAATTAATACCTCTCTAAGCTATTATTTAAAACATTTTGATGGTTAGGGAATTTCAATATAACTGGATTTGTGATAACTCTAAATTGTTACTATGAACAAAACTTGATATCTCATATATTCATAATTCAAGGGGTTTTAGGACCACAGGAAAACCAACTTACTTGGTACTAGATATTTATAAAAATTTTTATTAAGGAACTTAAACCACCAGAAGACCAATCATTTCCAGATCCAAATGAAGAACCTCTGGCCAGTAGTAAAATATATAGACCTATTTAGTTGTAAAGAATCAGAAATGCTTTAAGGTGAAGTTACTGGAATTAAGTGATTGGCTGAAGTGAACTGAGAACATAGATCCAGACGCAAACACGGAAAGTGGCTCACCATTCCTTCCTGGTCAACTCCACATCAATAACCGTTCCCGACTCTGGATTGTCAAGACTGTCTTGAGACACAGCAAAAAATCTGGTGTTTATTCGTTTCTTCACCACAATGAAAGTTAGAAGTGAACTTGAAAAGTGAGGATAAGTGTCATTATGTTACTCAGTCGCATTTCAGAAGCATTCAGGGCATTAAACATCACACACTAAGGCCTGTTAGGGAACCTGCAGACAGAAGCCTCCACGCGCACTGGCTTCACAGTCCCAGCTCCATCGGCCTGATCAAGGCAGTAAAGGATGCGGAGGGATCTGTTCACAGCCACCCATAGCCTAGGGGAAGGGTCCCTTCCTCACAGCCCCAGGACCCTTCCTGCCATCCCTGCTGGCCTCAAGCAGACGACGCTGGAGGGACAGCTGGCGGAGATCCCAGCCCTGGGACTTACAACTCCAGCATAAAGGCGGGTAAGTGCAAACCACTAGCAAGCCATGCTCATGGATTTGTATGAATATCTGAGCTGCACAAGCCTCTACAGCAAGACTTGGAAGGAAACGGGGGAAAGATTCATTGGGGTTCCACGGGGGAGCAATGTGCTGTTGCCATGTTGCAACTCTGCTTCACGCTCTGCCTTGGATGCGGGGCACGAAGCCAGAGGAGAAGGGCCTTTTTTCTCCCCACCCATCTGTGGAAGGCAGTGTTTGTATGTAGTACCTTCTCTCATCACACGTTGTATTGGGTTTTCCTACCAAACAGATTGTTTACAAAGACTTACGTAGAGTTTACGAAACCTGCATTGTCACAATTTATGTGCCTACTCTGGACAGGAGTTGTCATTTAGGCCAGCCAACATCTGCGGTATTTCTTGGGCAAGCAATGCTGACAGCTGACCATCCCCTACTCCATCCCGATACACAATAACAGAATGTGGCCTGGATGGTTCATTTTTACACCAGACCTTCAGGGCAGCTGAAAGGAAACCAGAAATGTGTGAATAAACCAGTCTTTGCTATCTTTGGCAACTTTTACGTTCACCTTTCACTGTAGCTTTCAGGGCAGTTTCACTGCTCACCTCCTCAGTCTAGTCCAGAGTTTCAACACCAGCACTGTTGAAATTCTGAGCAGGTAAGTATGTGTGGCGGTGTGTGTGGCAGGGCATCCTGTAGGGTGTTTACCGGCATCCCTGGCTTCTACCCACTAGACTAAATACCAGTAGCACCTGCACCCCAGTTGTGACACACAAAAAACGTTTTCAGTTATGACCAAATATCCTCTGGGGGCTGTACCTCCACTGGTGGAGAACCACTGGTATGTAGAGTCAGGGTCCCCAACCTCCACAAAACACTGACCTGCCACGCACTCGGTCAGCCCGTTCACAATCTCCTCTCCTGCTTCCTGGATGACACATCGAGAGTACCACCTGTTCACAGAAAAGCACACCACCCATTTGGAAAAAAAGGCATTCTTAAAATTTCATTATTTGGATTCTGAATTAGTCTATGTCCAAAAAAATACTATTAGTAGGTTAGGATCCAAGTAAGGATCGTTTCTTTCATGTCCTCACAGAGGTCAGAGTAGGGGCCTCTCCTGATGCCGCAGGCATTGCATGCAGACTTTAATGCACATGGATAGTAATGATGGAATAGAAGCATCTGTTGACATCACTGTAAATTAATCCTGCTTTAATGTGCATGGCTACTGTGGCTTCACCTGCTGGGGAATGATCAGATGAAGACGCAGAATGATCGGATGAAAACCCGAGCAAGGGTTCCTGCTTTGGGGTCAACACCTTTAACAGTGGGTCGCCCAGAGCCATCATCAGTGAGCAAGTGAGCTCACTTTTACTTTCAGCTGTTATCATGGCTATTGTGACAATTTCAGTATATCAAGTGAAGGTACATGCTGTCTCAAGTTTCTCTCCCCTTACTGTGTTTTTGTCTACTTTAGCGTAACCTCATCTGAGCACCTGACACACTGATGTCTTTGTCTTCCTCTTCCCTGGGACGCAAGTCCCATGGGATACAATCGGGCATGGCAGCTCTACGCTTCGTTTGCTGTAGACTCAGCACTGGAATGGGATAAGTGCTCAAAGATCTGTTGCATAAATGAAAGCTTGATTTTTCCCTATTATTGCAGCATAAATTTCTAATTCTAAAAAATAAAGTGGAACAAAGCAATGCATTATGTTGGACTAAAGTATGACTGGAAGGAGTGATGTCATCTGGGGAAATAAAGATGGATCTTCCTTTAAGACGACTCTGGAATTATACCTAGTGGATCACAAACATCATTAAACCTAGTGGTGATGTGCGATGACTATACAGCATGTAATGCACACGGGACTGCAAACTCAAGACTGCACATGCATTTCCATTTGAAGTGTGGTTTCTAAAGACAGAAAACAAAAGGGCCTGGAAGGAAAGGAGAGACCTGGGATAGAGAAGCAAGTCTCCTTTCGCAAGTACATTCTGTACAGGCATGTGAAGAGACAAGACCTCATACAGGCCTCTGGTTCAGTCTCAATGTCTCTTTATCCACGTACATCTAGAGTAGTGCTCTACCTCTGAGTGGTCCCTATAAAGGCACTTAGCCGATTAGAGCCTATGTTGGGCAGAATCTACCTGTCCTACCCTGGAGCCTCTGACCATGGGGAGACGCCATCTCCGTGGTCATGTTGTGCTCTGTGGCTCAGTGGCCTTTATGATAAGGAGATTTTCCAGATGTGGCCTATGTAACCACATGAGCTCCATTAAAAGCAGGGTGTTTTTTCTAGCTGAAGGCAGAAAAGGAAGAGAGATTAAAAGCAGAACAAGGACCCAGCGTGCCCTGGCTGGTTGAGAGATGGAAGGGAGCCACATGGAAAGAAACGTGAACTGCCTCTGGGAGCTGAGACTGGTCCACAGCTGACACAGCCAGGATGCAAACAGGGACTTCGGTCCTACAGCCACAAAGAAATTGATGCCACCGTCCATGACCACGTGAGCTTGGAAGAGGCCCACCAAGTTGCCAGATGAGAATGTGCTTTGGCTGACACCTTAATTTTTGCCTCAGAAGGCCTCGAGGGCCATGCAGTGCCACACGTCTGACCCAGAGAGCTGTGCAGAAACAAGTAGGGGCTGTTGTAAGCTACATTTGTGGTATTTAGGCAGCTACAGAAAATGATGCAGAGCCAGACTCCATACAAACATGTTTTGGAAACAATCACTTTGCCAGAAGAAAATCAGGCGAGCATATGACTAAGAATAACTCATCCATAGAGCTCCTAACCTCTTGAGCTAACAAGTGTTACTGGGCTCTCCTCTCCCGTTTGGCCCACAGACAGCCACAACTAAACATCTGCCAGAGCTTGCTTACTTTGTCAGTTCGTCATTGGTGCTGGCCACAAATCCTGCGATTGACTTCTGTCGGTTTACAGTGTCATGGAAACAGTCAATGCCAACAAACATCGTTTTCTTTACCTTAATATTTTTAAAAAGGTAAATTGAGTTAGAATAGAATGTGAGCAAAACTTAAGAGTCTATCTTTTAATTTATAGTTAAGTTTTATCAAACATGAATCGAGTGAAGAAAAGGCAATGAAATCTAACATACCCCCGTATCCACCTTCCAGAGGGCTCCTCCCATCTTACAGATCATCTGCTGGGCAAGCTTGTCAGAAATAGTTGAGACTATCTTGTGGCGATTTAAGGTTTTTGCCACCACACACTGGCTCGGAGTTGGGCATTCAGTACATAGGTACTTTTTTATGTCATCATACCTGTCTTTCTTGTCATTAGACAGCACACAAACCACCTGGAAAGCAAGCAAACATGAAATTCCCTAAGAATAAGACTGATGTGGAAAATGAAAACCATCTCAAAGAGGCAATTCAGGCGGAAGACTGACAAACTGGGGCCTGCTTATTGAGCAAATATCTGAGTCCAAAAGGGTGAAGGGTCTAGAATCGTATCACATTAGACAACGGTAAGGGTATGTTGAGGAAACAGGCTGCAAGATAGGCAAAAATTAGTAATATGCATCAATGGCCTAGTTATTCAGTTTCTAGGCATTTATCAGTGTGTTAACAAGGATGGGTTAAAAAAAAACAGACTAAGGCTAGGCGCAGTGGCTCACGCCTATAATGCTAGCACTCTGGGAGGCCGAGGCAGGTGGATCGCTCGAGGGCAGGAGTTCAAAACCAGCCTGAGCAAGAGCAAGATTCCGTTCTCTACTAAAAATAGAAATTGGCCAACTAAAAATATATAGAAAAAGTTAGCCAGGCATGGTGGCGCATGCCTGTAGTCCCAGCTACCCAGGAGGCTGAGGCAGAAGGATCACTTGAGCCCAGGAATTTGAGGTTGCTGTGAGCTAGGCTGACGCCATGGCACTCACTCTAGCCTGGGCAACAGAGTGAGACTCCATCTCAAAACAAAACAAAACAAAACAAACAAACAAAAAAACAGACTAAAGGATACCCTGGTCAGGATAGTCACCATTTATGGGATTATGTGTAGGCACTTGCCAAATGATTTGGCTTAGTTAATTCACCGATCCATTAATATAAGTACTATTAATATTATCCCCATTTTACTGCTGAACAAAAAAACTCGGGAATTACAGAAACTGCCTGATTGACAAAGTTTAAAACATTGTTTTTAAAACATTGGTAGGAACCTTCAGTAGGACACTGAGTGGGTAGGAAGAATGGTTGCCAATTGGCCTGCTCCTGACGTTAGCAGGAACATCAATGCTACTTATAGGATGTTTTTGAAAGACATCTTTTACCAGAGAAATTCTTGTTCCATATTCTTTCCTTTAACATGAAAGTTTGAACACATTATCTGTACTGATTAAGAGAAATATTTTCCTATAGTTCAGACAGAACATAGAAAATGTTTATACAAAAGGATTATATAAAATACATAATCATTTACATTTTTTTCTAAAACTGACCTCTTTCAAATTTTCAAATTACCACTACACAGCTTGTGGTTGTTCTAATATTTCTTTATTCTGCAGTGAATCTATGCTGATGAACTCTTATTTGTTGCTAATGTTTAGCCCTAGTCTTTCTTCTTGAGGCTTGACAGTACCAAATGTTAACATTTTCAAAGGACCAGCTTTAAATTTGTGGTTGATTTCATTTCTGATTTTACTGTTTTCATTCTATTTTGGTTTACTCTGTCCTGTGTTTATCAAAACTCAGTGTTCTTAGTGCATTAAGATTCAGCCTTCAGAGTGTGTTCCATGGCTGTAAGGTCCCTTCCTGCCATCACTGGTTTGCTGCATCATACAGGTTTTAACACATAGTACTTTCATGTTCAGTTCTCAAGAGTTTTCTTCATTGATAGTACTTCTCTTTGACATAGTTGTGACTTAGTAGTTCTTTGGTTTTTGAGTGTATGTGGTTTTATGATTTCTTTTTTTTCTTGAGACAGAGTCTCGCTTTGTTGCCCAGGCTAGAGTGAGTGCCCTGGCGTCAGCCTAGCTCACAGCAACCTCAAACTCCTGGGCTCAAGCAATCCTCCTGCCTCAGCCTCCTGAGTAGCTGGGACTACAGGCATGCGCCACCATGCCCGGCTAGTTTTTCTATATGTATTAGTTGGCCAATTAATTTCTTTCTATTTATAGTAGAGACAAAGTCTCGCTCTTGCTCAGGCTGGTTTCGAACTCCTGACCTCAAGCAATCCGTCTGCCTCGGCCTCCCAGAGTGCTAGGATTACAGGCGTGAGCCACCGCACCCAGCCGGTTTTGTGATTTCTAACTGTAATGTATTGTCTGTGTGTGGTACAACACTGAGCACATCAGTTGCCAAGGATTTCTCCAAGTACAATGTAACAATTTAAAGAGTTCCTGGTTGGGCGCCATGGCTCACACCTGTAATCCTAGCACTTTGGGAGGCCAAGGCGGGAGGATCACTCAAGGTCAAGAGTTCGAAACTAGCCTGAGCAAAAAGCAAAGACCCCATCTCTACTAAAAATAGAAATAAATTGGCCAACTAAAAATATATAGAAAAAATTAGCCGGGCATGGTGGTGCATGCCTGTAGTCCCAGCTACTTGGGAGGCTGAGGCAGGAGGATCGCTTGAGCCCAGGAGTTTGAGGTTGCTGTGAGCTAGGCTGACACCACGGCACTCTCTGGCCTGGGCAACAAAGTGAGACTCCGTCTCAAAAAAAATAATAAAAAAACAGGCTAATTTATGGGATTATGTGTAGGGCACAAATACTTTATTTGGCACTCTAGCCTGGGCAACAGAGACTTTTTTTGAGACAGTTCCTGCCAACACTTTTACATGTGATTTTTTTATTTTTATTTTTTTTATTTTTATTTTTTTAAGACTAGTCAAGTGCAGTAGTGAGGAGGGGGGAAAGTAGTAGAACAAGGAGTTCAATCTGTAACTGACTGAACAATCACGTGAGATAACTCACTACCTTCGGACCAGCCTACATGTGATTTTTTTAAAGCACCTAATCTTTTGGGTACAAATTGCACACACATACACTATAGACACATGCATCTCTACATATCGTGTATGTATGTATTGGGAAGAGGCTCCTGAAGACAGGCCCATGGATGTAAGTAGGTTAATAGGTCAAGTTTTTAAAATACGTTTTGTCAAATCTTTGAGATTCTAATTTTTTATCCGCTGTCTCCCGAGTTTCCTAAGAGTAGTGAACTAACATTTTCTCCTAAGATTTTAGCCTCTGAAATAACATGGACCCGTCTCCTCCTGAGAAGAGCTGGTCAAGCAGAAGGAAAGTATAAGGGCATGTCTGGTTAAGGCCCAAACAGGTCTAGTAAGACGATAAAGAATTACAGGGTCGCCATAGGGGAGAAGTGGGACCTTAGAGAGCTGATCCCAGGAGTTGAGGCTGCATTCCTCCGAGCCATCTGCCATCCCAGCAGATGTGGCTGGGAGGCTGTTAAAGAGACTGACAGCCATGTAGAGGGAGAGGGACAGAAATTAGAGACCACGTCCTGCCAAAGAAAGTGTGCTTAAGTTTCACATGTCTGCCACCCAAAAGTAAACACAGTGGGCTTCACACACAGCATTGGGAGGGACATTTAGCTGCCAGAATGCCCAAGCTGACAGTGGGTGTGAACACTGGCACACCTATTCTGGAAAACTGATTAGTAGTACCTAACATTGAACATTCTACTCCCAGGTACATCGCCACCAGAATTCCATACACGTGTGCATAAGACATCTGTACAAGAGTATAAATACTCGTTATAAATAACAGCAGTATAAGTAATAGCAAAGCTAGAAACATCCCATGTGGTCATCAACAACAGAAAGAGTTAACTTAAAAACAATGGGATACTGCACAGAGCAAGAGAATGAGTAAAGCATGGCTGCACCCAAAGCTGAACCTCAACACCGAGCAAAAGACAAGTCTGCACAATTTTGTTTAGGGAAAGTTCAAAACCAGGCATCACTAAGCTGTAATGGAAGTCATCGCATCAGTTGTATTTGCAATGTACTAAAAGTGAAGGGAACAAACTGAGCATGAGTAAAATGTCATAATCCACTAAATGTTAGGAATCCATGAGTCCATGTTTATATAAGTGAGTAAAAAATTGAATGAAGAGCTCTTCCTTACAATAGAATACCAGCTAATAAATATACAGAAGGGATACTGAAACCAGAAAAAAATAAAATCACTATTTGGTGAGCACCATAGTAATAATTGTTTCAGGTAAGTATCAATGGATGCTAAAGCTCGTGAGTGAAATTCCAATGAGAACAGGAAATCTGCATGATCTTCACGTTTTAAACCCACAAAAGACAAAGAAAAAAAAACTTTAAAAGAGTGGAATCAGCCAGACCACACCTTAACCAAATGATCAAAATTTAAATTACCAGTTGAATTATCATGTACTTCCTGATGTGATGGACTAAGAAGAAACTCTGTCATTTCTGTGGCATGTAAGAACCCATGGCCTGAATCTTATTACAAAGGAAATGGGTAAATCCAAATGGAGGGATGTTCTACGCGGTAACCGGCCGGTGCACTTGCAAAATGTCAAGGCCATACAACCCAAGAGAAGACCAAGGACATTTTCCGGATTAAAAGGTAACTAAAAATAGATGTCTACCAGATGTTCCTTGTTATCTTGGATGGATTCTGAGGGAGACAAAAGACTTCTTTTGCTATAAAGGACATGATTGGAAGAATTTGAATTAGGTGCATGTATTAGTATTATATCAATATTAATTTTTTAATCTTCTAAGTCCAGGTAACACCTAGTTAAGTAAAGAGTATGTCCTTATATTTGTTCTTTTCAAAATACCTAAGTATTCAGGGGTAAGTGGAGCAGCACCTGTCACACACACACACACACACACACACACACACACACACACACACACACGGCAAGGAAGAAGAGGAGAAAATGGATGTGGTAAAACTTAACGTATGGGGAATGTGGTTGTTATAGAGGGAATATGTGTATTATCTTTGCAATTCTTCCTTTAAGTCTGAAATTATACTAAAATGTAAGATTAAAGGGAATACAATTTTTAAGTATTTAGCAAAGAGGAATTGGAGGTTTATATTGGGTTGATGTGTAATAATCATTTTAAATAGAACAATTTCATGGTTTTCTATTTAGAACGACCATGACTATGTTCCCAGCTGGCATTTTTAACTGTAAGGGTCTGATGAACAGGAAAGAGTTATTAAAGTGAGATGACTGTTTCATATTTATTTTTATGGCCTTAATACTAGATTTGTTTTCCTTTCTGAAATATGATCTATAACTCAAATATACTATTGTTTCTTCTTCTACCTTACTCCCCAATTAAAATGTATAGGATTATTTATTATTCAGATGTCTTTCTTCATCAAAACTTATTTAAAACAGATCTACAAGCTGTTGTCTCTAATACAAGAAAAACCAGCATATCCTCAAACTATGAGTACTTGTTAGTAGAGTTACTTCTAATCATATTCATATTTGTGAAGTTAACATTTTATTTTAGACACAACATAGATGTGTGGCCTGCTATTTTATCACAGCCAGTGGGTTGTCTCACACAGCCTGTTCTGCCCCTGCCCCGTGACTCAGCTTTTGAAGTTGGTGAGCCACGACAGCTTCACTCCCGCTCACGTACGAAAGTTCTTCTCTCTAGCCCTGGTCTGTGGAGATTTCCATCTGTACTTGAAGACAATTTTGCACATGGATTTTAGTCCCCCTAAGATTGGTCACTGTCTTAACCATTTGAAGCGCGTAAAAGTGACAGCGTGGCGGCGCTTCCCGCGCTGTCTGGCATCGGGCCTTACGCTGTTTAAGGGATACCTTGAGAAGGGGAAGATGCCATTACAAAAAGCAAAAATAGGATAAATGAGTAAAAGTGGGACAGTTTCATAGTCAAAAGATAAAATTATTTTAAGAAAGTCCCACAATTAAAAAAGTAATCATTAAAATTTCAGTCAGTTGCTAAATGTGCAGAAAAATTCCTGGCATGAGAATGGGCTGGAATTCAAACAGCAACCAAAGCTCTTTTAACTCCGATTCTAACATACCAAAATATGGTGGTTTGCTGCTTCCCAAAGGGGGTTTGTCCGATTTAGCTGAGGACTTAAGGCTACCGGCCCAGAGAGGAATAAAACAAAGTACTCAAGTAACAGGAAACAAGCCATAAAATTTAAGTACAACAGGATTTTAAAGTGAATACATTTCATTTAAGAATAAGTATGGCTCATAAGGTATTCTTCAAGGTAGCCTATGATTCCCTCAGTGGCAATTAAAAAAAGAAAATCTAAGTTGTATGTAAAAGACAATAGGGAAAAGCGTTCTGGCTTTATGGTCAAGAATCAAAGATTCCCCCAACCTCCCAATCATCGTGGGGGAAGAAAGAACACAAGATGAACTAGGGAAAAGAAACCAAGAAAAGAAAAAAAAAAAATCACTATAGTAATTGAATTGCAACATAATGACAACATGGCCTAAGAGGCTGGATGGAAGAAAAGATCCCAAGAAAAATCCCAGGCAAGGCAAGGGGAAGCACACACTAGAAGTTATCAGTTATAGACTCAGCTTATACCTGAGGGGATAAAAATGATGTGAGGGTTACTGTTATTCACATTACTGTACATTTGTATAGTGTTTTTCAACATATACACACACACACACCCCCAAGTCCTCAAGCCTGAGAAAATTAGCATAAGATGGTGATACTGAGGAATAAGGTAAACACTGAAAGTTTGCATTCGTCTACATTAGCGGTAAATTTGCACTCATTGGCTAGTTTAGGAAAATGACGGCAACATTCCAAATTCTGAAATACATGCAGATGCAGTTTAGAGTAACTGAGGACTGTCCATACACCAAGTGGACCTTACCATCTGTGGCCGTTCCCTAGTCTCTCTCCGTAACATGGTTAGATAGGAGCCAGCATCATTTACTTGAACCCTAGAAAAGAAGTATATCTATGTTCAAAAGACAATGCGTAGGAAAACATAATAAACATTCTATACAGTAAATGAAATGAGATGTGATAAAATACTGATATACGCATTTCAGTAGAAAGTTTGTTAAAAACAAAACAGACTTCCAGTTTCTGGTTCTCCTTGTAAAGAGCTCAGAAATCACCATTCTGTCCTAACAAGCACAAACTAAGCAGACTGAAAAAAATGGACAACACTTCTAGGATTCTTAAGAGGTGAGGACGCAGGGTGAGCCACTGCCCATGGCCGGAGACACAGGTGAGAGCAGGAGTCGTTGCTAACCGGCACAGACTCAGGAAACCCCCCGGGGAAACAGGTCTGGGCCAGGAACGCTGGACTGGACCGAGATGCTGCAGGCTCCGCGTGGGCAACTGTGGGGTTAGGAGCTCCAGGTGGGCCCAGTCACAGGGACCCCAGAGTTCTGGGAGCTTGACCAGGTTCTTACAGCAAAGATCAGCGAATTCCCTCCTGAAGCCAGCAGAGGGCGAGGAAGAGCCATCATTTTGAAGTGCCCCAGGGCAATCTGCTCAGAACAGGGCCTGGCCTCAGGAGAAACTAGTTACCTCCACAGAAGGCTGGGCTCTAGTCACTAGCGACTACCTGCCTGAAGGGAAATGCCAGCTTCCCTCAGCTCTAGCCTTCCATATGAGAAAAGGGAACTGTGCTACTCTAACTATCCTGACCCACCTCAGGGAGGAGGGGAACAAAAAACAAAAAAACTTAAAACACTTGTATAATCCAGAGGGAAAGGCTCATTAGGAGAGTGAGACCAAATTACAGGACTATGGAACCCGCCCCTCTCCCCACGCCTCCCACCGCTTTGCTAAAGGTCTCTTTACAGCAGATCCTTATACCCAATTCCTCCTGTCTAGCCAGTGAGGAGAATATTACAAGACCCCCCACCCAAGGCAAAAGTCACGATTTGAAGAGAACGCAAACACCAGAACCAGACGTGGCAGGAATGTTGGAATTATCAGCCTAGACATTTAAGACAACTGTGACTAATGTGCAAAGAGCTCTCTAGCTGGTTGTTAAGAAACATGTTAGACAAAGTTTATTTGAGCAAAGAATGATTTGCAGATTTGCCAATTCTCAAAACCAGGAGCAGCCTGGAGAGCCGCGCTCCGCAGCGTGGGCAGGCAGCATTTACGGGTGGGAAACGGAAGTGAGGCCAGAATCTCCTTGATGGGTTGCAGCTTGGTTTGCTGTATTTGAAGGCGGTCTGATCTGTTTGCTGCCTGTGACTGACAAGCTTGTCTTCTGTGATTGTCTGAGACTCAGCTATTTGTTATAAAAATATACCCTTCAGTCAGGTTTTCAGTTTGTTTCTGTCACAAGTTAGGTTGCAGTTCTTTCTGTAGGGACTCAAAGTTCAGAGGCAGTCTCAGACCAAATTTAATTTAACTGAACAATTGCCCCATTTGGTGAGAGTCGATTTAGAGAGGTTGACCAAAACCTTGGGCATTGACACCACTCTGTCACCATAATAGACTTATCTGGTCTCAGTATGAAAGTCACCAGCCACAAGGTCACAATGCTTTGTGTTTTTACTGATGCAGTCAAAGTCAGACTATTCAATTCTCAATGGGGGCTGAATATGAATGTCTAAGACTTGAGAGGGTACAGTGCCCAAGGGGGAACACGATGACCACTGTCCAGGAGAATAATACTGAGAGAGACTGTAGTTTACTCCTTACACCAGGAGCCTCCACAAACCAAGCCAATCAAAAAAATCAAACAAGTCAAGTTTGGGCACTAAAGGCAGGTTGACACTATTTGAGTCCAGCTGGTCATAATCTGTGCTCAGGGTGTGCTGGCAACTAAGGACCATAGTTTGCAGTAGAATGGTCTGATGTAAAGGCATACACAAGTTTGTCGTTAGCCTGGTCATAGCAGTCGTAGTAGCCTAGAGACCCACTGCAAGAAACATGAAGATCAAAAAGCCTTGAACCACCCAGCCTCCTTCAGTTAGGGTGCCTGCAAGTCAACTATTAGTGGTGCCTGTAAGCCTATCACGGGTTCCTTTCCCTCCAGAGGCTTGTTAAGGGATTTAGTGGCAGCGTATAAAGAAACAGTGGTATCAGCCACCATTAAAATTGAGCTTAAAGTAGCAGCAAAATGAAGGGAAAGAGGTAAAACATTTTTGATTAGCACCATGTCCGCGCTTCCAACATGGGCAAACAGGAGACCTAAAGCTGCATCGTGTTCTATTAGTGTTTGTGTTGCACGTGTATGTGGGTCCCTCACCTCTTGGAGAGTGTTTTCTACCACTCTGACTCAGAGGACTAGTTGAGATAAATTCCAATATTTCCCCAAGTTAGAGATTACTTTCAAATTCCATACAACCAGCACTCCACTACTGCCAAAAGGGAGCTACCAGGAACCCCACTGGAATTTTCCTCAGTGGAAACCAGGTTATTTTTGTAAACCTATTACTCTAGTTTTCTTTTTGGTAGAGCAGTTAAGCTTAGGGTAAAGAGCCATCTACAGATTATGATCCTACATATTTTCTATAATGAAAAGAGAAAAGGACAAGGATTAGGATTGCTGAAAATAAGAATTTGAAAGTATATTTCCAAATGAGGTCACAAAAAAAAAAAAAAAGAATTTGAAAGTAATCTCTAAATTGGGAAAATATTGGAATTTATCTCAACTAGTCCTCTCAGAGTCAGAGTGGTAGAAAACACTAGCAGATATGTGTAATATCATACAGCTATCGACCCAGCCTAAGAACAGATATGCTAGCAGGTATGTGTAATAGACAGCTATCGATTCAGCCTAAGAACAGATGCTAGCCGCTAACAGATATGCTAGCTACAGTATCCGTTACTTCATGTCTATCAAGCACAGCAGCAAAACAAACTTAAGGTATAGAGGCAGCCTCAAGCCAAGTTTAATGTTGCAGGATACAGCAGACAGCATGCAACAATAGATGGGAACGTAAGCAGAGAACTGGAAATCCGGAGAATGAACCAAAAGAAATGCAAAGATCAAAAATTACTGTAATGGAAATAAAGAATGCCTCTGATGGCCTTGTTAGTGGATTGGACAAGGCTGAGCTTGAGGATATCCACAGAAACCTCCAAAACTGAAAAGCAGAAAAAATAAAGACTAAAAACATAAGATTATCCACACTGTGGGATGTCTACAAAAGGTGTAACACGTACACAATGGAAGGAGAAAAAGAAAGGAACTGAAGAATTTGGGGGGGGAAGTGTGAATTTCCTCAAATTATTTTCAGACACCAAATCCCAGAATCCAGGAAGCTCAGAGGAAAGTAAACAATAAATGCCAAAGAATTATACCTAAGCATAACATATTCAAACCACAAAATATCAAATAGAAAGAAAAATCCTGAAAGCAGCAGGGGAGGCAGAAAAAGAGTGGAAGACAAAAATAGCAACCAAGAACACGGTCAACAACTACAAAACAGTAACAGCAATGGTAGGTATTAGCCAACAATAATCATTTTGAATGCCAATGGTCCAAATATACCAATTAAGAGGGATTAGAGTGAATAAAAGACCCAACTATATGTTGTCTATGAGAAACCCTCCTTAAACTTAAAGACAGATTAAAAAGGGATGGATTTATCACATCATGCTAACACTAATCAAAGAAAGCAGAAGTACTATATTAATTTCAAACAAAGCTGACATCAAAGCAAGGAAAGTTATCAGAGATTGAAGGTCAATTCTGCAAGAATCCTTAACTAGTATGCACCTAACAGAGCAAGCTACATAAGTCAAACACTGATAAAACTGCAAGGAGTACTAGATTAATCACTATTGTACTTGGAGACTTCAGCACCCTCTATCAGAAATGGACAGCTGAAGCAGTCAGGAAAAAAATCAGGAAAGACACCGTTCACCTTAAACCATAAGTTAGCTAGATATATAACATCTATAAACTCTTCAACAATAGCAAAGTGGATATTCTTCAAGCTCACATGGAATATTCAGCAAGGTAAACCACATTCCCGGCTGTCACATGAACTAACTACCATGTGAATTGTATTTAACTCACACCAGTTTTGAGCTGGGGCCTCGTGAAGCGTGTGTAACTCACATGTCTTTTCACTTTGTGAGCCATGAGAACTATTTTTCTTTTTTTTTTTTTTTACTGCTACCCACTGTGTCCTATGTTTTTCAAGTTGCATATAACTCACAATTTTTTTTAAATGACCAATTTTTCATTAAATGAAAAGATCATTTGTTTTTAAAGTTTTTATTCTATTTTTATGATAAAACACCATGGTCCCAAGGAAAAAAAGTTTTCTAGTTTGGTGATGTGTTAAAGTATAGAAGTCATGTAGTTCCCCTCTGGGATAATGGGATTAAAAGAGAAATGAATAACAGAATGTTAACTGGAAAATCCCCAAACACAGTAATACGTGGAGGCAAAGAAGAAATCTAGAGAAACTTAGTATTTTAAACTAAATGAATGTGAAAACAGCTTATCAATATGTGTGAGACGTAGTAAAAGCAGGGCTTAGAAAAATTTATTGTACTGAATAAATATGTTCAATAAGACAGACCTGAAACTGATAATCTAAGTTTCTACCTTAGGAAGCTAGAAAAGAGCAAATAAATCGGCAGTAAGCGGAGGAAAGGAGAATAATGACTAGAGCAGAAGTCAGTGAAATGGAAAACAAAATCAATTTGAAAAAATCTAAGCACTGTTTCTTTGAGAAGATCAATTAAATTGAAAAGACTGTAGCAGGCTAAGTCTGCTAAAAGAAAAAAAAGACAACACAAATTACTAATCAGAAATTAAAAGCCAGGCGCCATGGCTCACGCCTGTAATCCTAGCAATTCCAGGAGGCTGAGGCGGGCGGATCGCTCAAGGTCAGGAGTTTAAGACCAGCCTGAGCAAGAGTGAGACCCTATGTACTATAAATAGAAAAATTAATTGGCCAACTAAAAAAAATATATATAAAATAATTAGCCGGGCATGGTGGCACAGGCCTGTAGTCCCAGCTACTCGGGAGGCTGAGGCAGGAGGATCGCTTGAGCCCAGGAGTTTGAGGTTGCTGTGAGCTAGGCTGACGCCACGGTACTCTAGCCCTGGCAACAGAGTGAGACTGTCTAAAAAAAAAATTAAAGAGGAGACATCATTATGGATCCCATGGGCATTAAAAGGATGACACTATGAACAACTCTGTGCTGACAAATCTGATAGCCTAGATAAAATGGACTAGTTCCTCGAAAGACATAATCTGCCAAAACATGTACAAGAAATAGATATGATTAGTCTATTAAAGAAATTTAATCAATACTAAAACCTTCTGAAACAGAAAGCATCAGGTTAGGATGGGTACACTGGGGAATTCTACCAAATATTTAAGAAATGATACTAATTCTCTACTCCTATCCTTTGACAAAGATGTAGAAAGAATAATTCCCAACTCATTTTATGTAGCCAGCATTGCCCTAATACCAGAATCATATGAAGACATCACAAGAACTACAGACCAATATATCTCATGAAAATCCTCAACAAAATATGAGAAAATTAAATCTAACAGTGTATAAGAATTATATGACAGCAAAGTGGGATTTGTCCAGGTCATGCATACCAAGGTATGCAAGTCTGGTTCAATATTCAAAAGTTAAGGAATGTAATCCATCGTATCAACAGGCTGAAAAGGAAAAGTCATGTGATCTTGTCAGTAGAGTGATAAAAAGCATTTGACAAAATCTAGCACCTATACATGATAGCAACTTGGGAACCTAGGAAGAGGGGAACTTCCTCAACTTGATACAGAGTGTCTATTAATACAAAAGGCCCCCAGCTAATATCATACTTAATGGTGAGAAACTTGAAGCTTTTCACTAAGATAAAAAGACAAAGGTGTCCCTTTTTACCCTCCAATTCATCATCATACTAGAAGTCCTTACTAATGTAATTCAACACAAAATAAGTGATAGATTGGGAAAGTAGTAAAATTGTCTTTGTTTGCAGATGACATGATTTTCTATGTAAAAAAATCCAGAAGAATTGAGACTTAAAACCTCTGGAACTGGAGCAGTGTGAAGAAGAGGAGGCGAGAACGACCCCCGGACCGACCAAAGCCCACGCGCCGCTGCATCCCCGCGTCCAGCGCCCACGTCCCGCCGCCGTCGCCACCACGCCCAAGAGAAAGGCTGAAGGGGATGCTAAAGGAGATAAAGCCAAGGCAAAGGACGAACCACAGAGAAGATCCGCGAGGTTGTCTGCTAAACCTGCTCCTCCAAAGCCAGAGCCCAAGCCTAAAAAGGCCCCTGCAAAGAAGGGAGAGAAGGTACCCAAAGGGAAAAAGGGAAAAGCTGACACTGGCAAGGAGGGAAATAATCCTGCAGAAAACGGAGATGCCAAAACAGACCAGGCACAGAAAGCTGAAGGTGCTGGAGATGCCAAGTGAAGTGTGTGCATTTTTGATAACTGTGTACTTCTGGTGACTGTACAGTTTGAAATACTATTTTTTATCAAGTTTTATAAAAATGCAAAAAAAACAAAAAAAACCTCTGGAACTAGTGTGATTATAACAAAGTTACAGGTTACAAATTTAATGTACAAAAGCTAATTGCTTTCCTATATATCAGCAGTGAACAAAAGAGAAATATGGAAGTGGAATTTGAAATTAAAAATGAAATTTCATACTAGCATCCCCCAAAATAAGATACTTAGTATCAAACCAGCATAATATGTGTAAGATCTGTATCAGGGAAATCCACAAAACTCTGATGAAAGAAATCAAAAAGACTCAGTGAATGTAGAGTTATTCCGTGTTCATGGGCAGGAAGATTCAGTATTGTCAGGATGTCAGTTCTTCCCAATCTCCTCTATAGATTCATTGCAACCCCAATCAAAATCACAGTGAGTTATGTTGTGGATATTGACAAACCGATTCTAAACTCTATAAGGAGAAGCAAAAGACCAAGAATAGCTAACACAATATTGAAGGAGAACCACCCAACTTCAAGACTTACTGGAAAAGCACAGTAACCAGGACAGCGTGCTGTTGCTGAAGTGACAGACAAGCAGGTGAGCGGGCTGGAGCGACTGGAGAGGCCCACAGCAGAACAGGCGACTGATCTTTGACAGAGGAACAAAGGCAATGCAACGGAAGAAACAGTCTCTGCAGTGAGTGGTGGAACTGGATATTCCCATGGAAATAGAAGGATCTAGATGCAGACCATACACCCTTCAGAAAAAATTAACTAAAAATCGGTCACAGACCTAGATGTAAAATGCAAAAACTTAGAGAAGATCAATTAAACTAAGTATCATAAAACTTAGGTGATCTTGGGTATGGCAATAACCTCAAGGGTATAATCCATAAGAAAAATTGGTAAGTAGAACGTCATTAAAATTAAAAATGTGCTCTAAAGGACACTGTCAAGAGAATGTGAAGACAAGCCACGGAATGGGAGACTGTATTTAACAAAGATGCATCTATCAAAGGACTGTTATCCAAAATATACAAAGAACTCTTAAAACTAAGAAAAACAGGCCGGACATGGTGGCTCACGCCTGTAATTCTAGGACTCTGGGAGGCCAAGGCGGGTGGATTGCTCCAGGTCAGGAGTTCAAAACCAGCCTGAGCAAGAGCGAGACCCCGTCTCTACTATAAATAGAAGTTAATTGGCCAATATATATATAAATAAAAAATTAGCCGGGCATGGTGGCACATGCCTGTAGTCTCAGCTACTCGGGAGGCTGAGGCAGGAGGATCGCTTGAGCCCAGGAGATTGAGGTTGCTGTGAGCTAGGCTGACGCCATGACACTCTAGCCTGGGCAACAAAGTGAGACTGTCTCAAAAAACAAAAACCTCTTAAAACACACACACACACACAAAAAAAACAAAAACAAACCAACCAGATTAAGACATGAACCAAAGACCTTAGCAGACACCTCACCAAAGAGGATACACTGGTGGCAAATAAACATATGAAAATATGTTCTACGTCATATGTCATCATGGAAATGCAACTTAAAGTGAGTCACTACACACAAATGGTGATCAAAATATAGACCACTGACAACACTGGCTAGCATGTGAAGCAACAGGAACTCCCTCATTGCCGATTTAAATGCAAAAGGGTATGCTTCGGAAGACAGTTTGGCAGTTTCTTATAAAACTAAACACATTCTTATACCATATAGGTCCAGCAGTGTGTTCCCTGGTATCTACCCAAACGAGTTGAAAACTTGTCTCATGCAAAAACCTGCACCTTGGATGTTTATAGCAGCTTTATTCATAGCTAAAACTTGGAAGCAACCAAGTTATTCTTCAGTGAGTGAATGGATAAACTGTGGTACATCCGGATAATGTGATATTATTCAGTGTCAAGAAGAAATGAGCTATCAAGCCATGAAAATACATGAAGAACCTTAAATGCACATTACTAAGTAAAAAGCCAAGGCTGAAAAAGGCTGTACACTGTTATGATTTTTTTTGAGACAAGTCTGGTTTTGTTGCCCAGGCTAGAGTGAGTGCCATGACGTCAGCCAAGCTCACAGCAACCTCAAACTCCCGGGCTCAAGCAATCCTCCTGCCTCAGCCTCCCGAGTAGCTGGGACTATAGGCATGTGTCACCATGCCTGGCTAATTTTTTTCTATATATATTACTTGGCCAATTAATTTCTTTCTATTTATAGTAGAGACGGGTCTCGCTCTTGCTCAGGCTGGTTTCGAACTCTTGACCTGGAGCAATCTGCCCGTCTCGGCCTCCCAGAGTGGTAGGATTACAGGTGTGAGCCACCGCGCCCGGCCCCCATAAGTGTATGATTCTAACTACATGACATAATGGAAAAGGCAAAACTATGGAGACAGTGGGGGTGGTGGGAGGGGGAAGCAGTTGCCAGAGGTTATCAGGGTTGGGGGTGGTGGGAAGGGATAATTAGGTAGACAGGATTTTAGGGCAATGAAAGTATTTTATATGAAACTAATAGTAGGTACATGTCATTCATTTGTGCAGTCTCACAGAATGTATCTCAGAGTGAACTCTAAGGTAAACTGTAGCCTTGGGGTGATTAGGATGTGTCAATGTAGGTTTGTCAGTTGTAACAAATGTACCCTCCTGTGGATGACATTGGCGAAGGGGAGGCTGTGCATGTGCTGGGGCAGAGAGTATGTGTGGAATCTCCATACCTTCCTCTTAATTTTGCAGCAAACCCTTTTAGAAACTGGGAACTAGTTTTTAACATGCCCTTATCCATTCACATCAAGTCGCTCATTTTCACATGCCTTCAACCAGTACCCTGATGGCCATGAACCACACATAACTGAAGCCTGTCTTGACGTTTGTTGACTGGAGATCAGGCTTTACACACTTTCAAAGTTGTGATAAAGTGACTGATTCTTATGATTTAACATTTCAGTTATCTTACTTTCAGATTGCTAACTAATTTTCAAATTGGAGGTAATTTATATTCTACTTACATTTTTGCTGGTTGCATTTTTATACCCTTTTGGGGAAGGATTATCTGCAGCTTGTCTTGTAAGGCAGAGGCTGCTCTGCGATTTTCCCTGCTATAGAGCATCAGCCAGTGAGTGAGTGACATGGTGGTAAGCAAGGGTACTTCACTTGTCGCTGCCCGCTGCCCATGTCGTGAATGTGTTTTAACCTAAAAAAGAATTACAAAACTAAGTATAAAACCATAAAGATCAACATTATCCAAGTGCTTGTCCTTTGTAAATCTGTGCTATTTCCTTTTGAAGTGTTATAAACTTAGTGGCTGAATTAGATATTTTTCATTAAGATGTAGGTTAGGGGGATGGTCATAATGGAGACTCAGACTTGTGGGGGGAGGGGAGAAATGGGAATTTATTAAAACCTTAAAATCTGTACCCCCGTAATATGCCGAAATAAAAAAAAAAAAAAAAAAAAAGATGTAGGTTAGTCGGCCGGGCACGGTGGCTCACGCCTGTAATCCTAGCACTCTGGGAGGCCAAGGCAGGCGGATTGCTCAAGGTCAGGAGTTCGAAACCAGCCTGAGCAAGAGCAAGACCCCGTCTCTACTAAAAATAGAAAGAAATTAATTGACCAACTAAAATATATATACAAAAAATTAGCCAGGCATGGTGGCACATGCCTGTAGTCCCAGCTACTCGGGAGGCTGAGGCAGGAGGATTGCTTGAGCCCAGGAGTTTGAGGTTGCTGTGAGGTAGGCTGACGCCACGGCACTCACTCTAGCCTGGGCAACAAAGTGAGACTGTCTCGAGAAAAAAAAAAAAAAAAAAAAAAGATATAGGTTAGTAAAACCCAAATTCGATCATAGGTGTTAGACGTTTTTAAATGACAGGCTTTTAGGCTGGGATAGTTCTAGAGCTTTAGGTTCCTACATGAGCAAACCAAAGTCTAATGTAAATAGTAAAATGAAACTTGAAGCTTTACAGCCAGAAACTGCCAACTAACCTCTAACTAGGTCTTTACCCAGTTCCCCACCGAGTCTACCGTGTCTCGGCTGTGCCAGCCCGCGGAGCCCGCGGCCGCCGCCCGCTGTGGGCCTCTTCCAGTCCTCAGTGCCATTCAATTCATGGATCGGCTTTGCCCAAGTAGACTGTTAAGTTCATTTTGTCTAGAGTTTTTTTTTTTTTAGAACAGTTTACTCTGAATTATTTTGATTCTAGTTATTTGACTCTTAAGGACAAGATTTTGCCATCAGAGAATATCCATAGTATTAAGTAGAGATATAATACAAAGTTTAGTACATGCTGATCCTTTTTCCCTGCATTCTTATGGAGTATTGCTTGTTCTCTCAGCATAGAATGCGTGGCCTGAAAAGGGAGCTGCAGTCACTGTTATTAACATGATCGAGTTAGTTCCTTTTTTGCATTACTCTGACTCAACTATGACATGACAATTTTGGAACTGCCTTACTATGTCTTCCTTTGTGACAGCTGTCAAAGTTCTTCCAGAGAAGGACAGAAAGTTGGAGTCAAAATTCAAATCCCAGCGTCGAAGGTGCTTTTGCACGGACTCATCTCTGAAAATTATCACATTTCCAACATGATCAAACCAAAGAAAAGCACAAGCTATTAGCCATTTGAAAAACACAGGGCAATTCCCTCTACTCCCAGGTTGATTAGTACTTGCCCTCAGAGATTCAGCTGAATCCCCTGAAACTCTGAAGTCATCTTGTTCTTGCTCTCAAATTTGTACGGGATCTTGGAACATTTCTATTTCATTCCCCCTCACTGGGCCTCCTAACATTACAGTGTCATACAAAGCTAGAATCATCTCCCCCAGTAATCACTTTTTCCCAATTGTCTCTTTCTCACAGAAGAACGAGATGCCAGGGTCTCAATTTCAGTGCCACTCTGCACACACACAAATACCAGCCAGAAAAGCAGCACACACTTTTGTATAGTATTGATGAATTTTTCTAATTCATGATGCCTTTTTCCTGGCTTCAATCTTGTAAGCGCAGCCAACGCCTGCATCGTCCTGCTGTTTTTACGTGCTGCATCTGTTAGACCTTTAAAAAAAAAAAAAAGATCCAGAAGATATAGCTGAACAAGAATATGTATACCTTGGAGAAGGCTTACCTCTGGTACCTGGAAGGACCAAACCAGAGGCGGCACTTGGAGCTGAGTGAGAAGTCTGCACTTCTGAGTCACAATCATGCCCGACTACGAAGAGGGTTGTCTCCTCTACAGACTACACAAGTCGGCTGTACCTGTCAGCATGCACAGCTGAGGCACCAGCATGATAGGTTCACGTGTTGTGTCCTTTTGGCCCTTTTTCCATTTTCCTTGGCTGATCAAAAGTGGCTGATCGAAGTCAGTGATAATCGTGTTATATTGCTGCTCAACAGAAGCCAGACCAGCACGGTGATCAGTAGAAGCTTAGAAACATCACACATATGTTAAAAAATACATATTTTGATTGGAAATGAAGGCCCAGAAGTATGCCAGTGAGATTGTTTCCCCAAGTTTAATAGTGTGCTAAACTCTTAAAATACTCTCAATTTTGATGTCCCAGAGACATCTTTTTTCTCATATGGACATAGTGCTGAAGACAGGACTCCAAGTAGACATTACCTTGGAGTCACTGTACTTTTTTTTAAACTTTGTAAGTGATGGGTGAGAGACTTAGAGTACTTACCACACTTCTGCCTTTAAAATTCCTAAAGCATGCTGAACACTTTCCAGAGCCTCCCCACTTTAATGGATGGAAAAAGCCTTTTCAAGAAGTACAATTGCACATCTATCCCCAACATGCCTCCTGCATTATTTGTCCTAAGCACTTAGTCCCAGTTTCCAGTAGAGAAAGACATTTTCAGAGACATCACAGAAGTTTCTACACTGATGCTGCGATTCTCGGACAACAAAGTGCCTTCCTCTCCTGCAGAGCGCGGTGACTCTCAGACCCTGCCGTGCTGCTCACTGACACGGTGACACGGTCCTTGCCAATGATCTTGTCACACACATTCTAGCATCATGTGTCTTTTAAGCTTCTGGGAACTTGAGTTGTCACCTCAAATAAGACAACTTCAAATACAGTGTTTTCAGCTCTGTTCTCAAGCTGGGCTTCCACTTTCAATTCTTATGACATCATTGCAGGTTACATACTTTTTCCTTAAAGCAGCGTGTAGTTATTTAAAAGGCAGCTGAGATCTACCCATACCCCTGTCCCGCAGCCTTGCTATGGCAGGGACCTGTGAGGGCGCACGTGTGCGAGGCAGACTCCACACGTCGCTCCTCCCACCCGGTGTATCGGATCCCGTGAATAGGCTGTTCTGTGGGGAGATGTGGAAGTCACTCCCCATTTCTCACAGCTTCTGTGTAAATGCCCTAGCACAATCCCCTCCAACATTGACTTCCTCAATAATCAAAGCTCATTTCTCTTGTTCCTATAATTAAATCTGTTTCTTTGAGACAGGGTCTTGGTGTCACCCAGGCTAGAGTACAGTGGCATCATCATAGCTCACAGCAACCCCAAACCCCTGGGCTCAAGCGAGCCTCCTGTCTCAGCCTCCCAAGTAGCAGTAGCTGGGACTACAGGTGAACACCACCTTGCCTGGCTAATTTTTCTACTTTTTGTAGAGTCTTCCTCCTGCTCATACTGGTCTCAAACTCCTGGCCACAGGCAATCCTCCTGCCTTAGCCTCCCGAAGTGCTAGGATTACAGGCATGAGCCAGCGTGCCCAGCCTAAATCTTTTTTTTTTTTTTTATAGCAAGAAGGTTATTGGGAACCAGCCTAAATCTTTTTAAAGCCAGGATTGAACTTCCCTTCTAATGACTCATCATTCAATGATTTTTGCAGTTCTCATTATGACACTAAATGTAAATTGTTACTTATTTAGACTGAATTCCCACAAGGGCAGGCAGAGACTACCCTAATTATTTCAAATATGCCAGCCCATCTACTTTTACTGAAGTAAATTTGCTGAAATTGTTTCGTTTTTCCATTTACATCTAAGTATTCTACCTGCCAGCACATGCCAGGAAAGCATTTTTCCTTGATGTGCCAAACTCCCAAGTTGTTTCTGAGCCCACTTGCTCTTTGACGCCAACACGCATGAGTTAGTTAGCGATTATAACCTGCATCGAGCTCTTCTGTGCCTTTGTACCCTGTTCTGTTCTCACTGCCGACCTTCAGAAGCGTGCTCATTTCTGACATTCGCAAAGCAGCTTCTCAGAGAAGCTTCCCGTGACCACCCAGTCCCAGCAGCCAGCTGCCCTCCACAGCACCTCAAGACTAACGACCTGCACACTCCTCATCAGAATAGTTTTCTTCTGTTTGCCGTCTCTCCGCCTGCCATGGGAATGTGAGTTCTTTGATATCAGATAACTTTCTTAACCAAGATACACTCAAGGTAAATATCAGGCACTCACTGGACACTTTCTGGATTAAAGGAAGAAGCACTAAGTGTGGTGCACAAGTGAAGATTGTCATAATCGAATCATCCCATTGGAGGAATGTCAGAGTGCTGTTACCCTGAATGGCTCTAAGTAGCTATGTTTGAGGTTATCATGTAAAAATACAAATGTCTGATTTAAAAAGTAGCTTGTAAGTTATTTCTAGTCACCTTAAGTATCTTGTAATTCTGAGTAGTCTTTCATCTGCCAAAGCTAGAATCAACCTCATCCCCTGGTGCATCTTAGTCCATCAAGTTCCCTTCTTTCTCCATGAACACTCATTCGGGAATCCACATCAACACGGTGTCACTGATGTCATTTCAGATGGCAATTGGTCATTTTTATTTTTTGGGGCCAAGCTCTGTAGAGCTGAGACTTCTGGGTAAGTGACACTTATATCTGAAGTCCTATATTTCATTTTTTCTGAGGCAGAGTTCAGTCTGTTGCCCAGGCTAGAGTGAGCGCCGTGACATCAGCATAGCTCACAGCAGCCTCAAACTCCTGGGTAGCTGGGACTACAGGCATGTGCCACCATGCCCCGCTAATTTTTTCTATATATGTTAGTTGGCCAATTAATTTCTTTCTCTTTTTAGTAGAGACGGGGTCTCGCTCTTGCTCAGGCTGGTTTTGAACTCCTGACTTTGAGGGATCCGCCTGCCTCAGCCTCCCAGAGTGCTAGGATTACAGGCGTGAGCCACCGCGCCCGGCCCAATTTCATTTTCTACGTAACAGATATATCTATGTTTATAATGACTGCAGCCACTTCTAAGCCTGAAAGAAGAGACTATACTGGAGCCATTCCAAGTACGCGACATAACCCTACACATAAGACACTTGAATATGTGGATAATAGTCAAGCTATAATCCCCTAAAAGAATATGTTGATGTGTTTGTATAAGTATATTCAAGTATCTAAATAAGACACATTTGTACAACATGAAAAAAGTTTATAATTTAAATATGTTTAAAGAAATAAATTACCTTCTTGTAGTAGTCTATATAGGTAATTCTTTTGCCATCCGATTTTTCAAACGTATCTCGGGGAGTCTGCTCCCAGTTAATGCCATCCACTCTGTAGGTTTTGTTGTTGTATCTGTGGAATGATTGCAACATGACATTTCTGATATTCACTGCATGGAAACAAGCCAGGAAGTGAGCAATCTCTGGATATGTCACCTTCATTAGGATGTCATTCATTGTGCACTACTCACCCATTTAAGCACTTAAGCTGATGGTTTTTAATATATCCAGAGTTGCGCAGTTGTTCTAAGCAGTTTTAGAACATTTTCAAAGAAGAAATACCACCGTGAGCAGTCACTTCCCATGTCTGCCCAATCCACCAGCGCTTAAGCAACTGCCAATCCACTTTGTCCCCACACGTGAACATACGCACAGGCAAATATGAATTGAATCATACAGCATGTCCTCCTTCCCGCCTGGCTTCTTTCACACTCAGCATGATGTTCAAGGTTCACCCCCTTCCACTTTATTTCCAAACGATATTCTACTATGTGGATAGCCCACATTTTGTTTAGCTATCGAGTTGATAAACATTAGGGTTGTTTATACTTTTGGTCATTATGATGTTCAATCATTCCTATGCCAATTTTGGTGGACATGTTTTTCACTTCTCTTGGATATATGAGGAGGAACAGAGTTCCTGGCCACACGGCAATGTTGTGTTTAATATTTTAAGGAAATGCCAGACTGCTTTCCAAAGAAGCCAGCCACAGTAGCATGAGAGAGTTGGTTCTGGTTTTCCCCACATTTTCTCCAGCACTTGTTAATGTCTTTGTAATTTTAGCCATCCTACTGGGCATGAAACGATATTGTGGTTTTCATTTGCATTTCCCCGATAGTCAAGAAATGCATGAAAAAAATGCTCACTATTATTAGCCATTTGTATGTTTTCTTTGAATAATTCTGGAGAAATGTCTGTTGAGCTCTTTTGCCTGCTCTTAACAATTGTGTTGTCTTAATTGAATTGTGAGTGCCCTTTGTGTATTCTAGATACAATACACATGAAGAACTCTTACGAGACGTGTGATTTGCAGATCTCTCTCATTTTGTCAGTTGTCCTTTCACGTTTGACGATGTACTTTGAACAAGAGTTAGGTGAATTGGGCTTCACCAAAGTAGAAGCTAAGTTTTTCTTTTGTCATCACCTGTGCTTTGAGGCCCTAAGGAGGTTTAGTTTTGCTCAATGTAAAAAAGATCTACTCGTATATTTTCTGATAATGTTATACTTTTAGTTTTTACATCTAGGTCTATTGAGTTAACTTTGAATTTTGTGAATCATGTACAGAAGCAGCAGGTAGATATTCTGTTGTCCCGGCAACATCACTGAAGAGACTATTCCTTCCGCTATTGATTGGCCTGGATGCCCTTGTCAAAAGTCAGTTGACTATGGTGTGAGGGTTAAACCTCTGGACTGTTTTATGTGTCTTTTAGGTCAGTGTCACAACTATCTTGATTACTATAGCTTTGCAGTAAGTTTTAACAATGGAAGTATGAGTGCTCCAACTTTTTAAAGATTGTTTTGGCTGAGTAACTGGTTCCTTAAATCTGTTCTCTTATAAACTGAAAATTTCTGGTATAGAAAGACTATTCTCTTATAAATTGAAGATTTCTGGTGGAAAATTGCTGATGGATTATAATTAAGCACTGCCTTTTTTTTTTTTTTTTAAACACACACCCAAGAGCTCTGATGGAGAAAGCACTGCTTTTTAAAATAGCAAGATACCTACAACAAAGAGGGAAAGGAAGAAATTCGGAAGCAGCATACCTTGTTACGTGCAAGCCAGGGTTCAGTACAAATTGATTAGCATTAGAGGTTGTAAGAACAGCAAAGCTTATAGTCAACTCATTTCTCTCCAGTGTTATATAACCAGATGAGAAAAAGGTCAAATGGTTACCATTCTCATACAAGAAACGCTATGTCCACTCCTACACTTCAACTGTTAGTGATTAGAAAACAATAGTATCATCTCTTCTGGAAAAAAGTTAAAGTGATTGGATAGGTTTTTTTTTTTCTTTTTTTTCCTGTTCTGATGCTGTTGGATGGATAGGTATTTTAAAAAGCAGACTTACGTTGTCACAACAATTGATCCAACTAACTCATCAGCTACTTTCTTTTTGATACGTTCTTGAGTTTCTCCAGACGTATGCTGTATTAAGTCATAAGCAGTTTGTTGCCGCATCAGTTTGTGGCTCACGTCAGCACAGAGGGTGATGCTGTTTTCATACTGAAGAATAGAAGTCACATAACCAGGAAAGATGTCCAACTTGGGGCTAGAATAAATTATATGAGGGTACTAAGTCCAAGCTCTTAACATAAAGCCACGTGTTCAGGGCCTGAGCTCGGTCTAAAATTGATACTTAGGAGTCAATGAATTCTAATTCCTTATTTTTAGTGATAACTAGTCTTTTGAAGGACCTTAAAATCAAGATTTACTAGGTGTTTTACTTACAAGTAGTAGCATCTTTGTTAAGCCATTTTTATCACCTACAACCTTAAAATATATCCGTATCTAGTTACAATGTATAACCTCTGTATCATATACGCATATACCAACACATGGTATGCAGAGGGTATAACTGCTATGCTTGAAAGTATTTTCAGGGATGAGTTACCCACATTTGGGGTGACTATTTAGGTCTTCTACAATGTTTACATACCAACTGAATACCTTAAGTTTTATGTTTATTATGCTAGGACTTTTAAAGTATCTTTTTACTTTATTTAAAATTTACATTAAACTAAAAAAGTTATCCATAGCCAGCAATACCATTTAACAGGCCATTACTTTTAAGTCATACCACCTTCAAATGAAAGTAACTTTCTCAAAACATTCTACGATTAAGTGTGCAGAATATAAAGGTTTCCATTTTATACAAACTCGGAATTGAACTCCACTGCCTCCCTTTTATTGTAAAAGTTGCGACCGATTTGTTCCAACTTCATCGACTCCAGAATTCTAGAAATTAAAATAGGCTTTGTTAAAGTACAGTGCATATCATCAAGCATTTGGTAACACACATAAGGATACATTAAGGGAAAAAAGAAGTCTGTCAATGACCTTGTTTATACTATCAGTTAACACAAAGTACCTGACAAGTAAATCACTTTATGAAGTGAACATTAAGGTTCACTTAACCTCAGTTTTTCTGCCTCCTTATACAACAAAATATTGTAGAAAAGCCATCAAAATGTCCTTCCATTCCCAGAACTAAAATATCTTTTAGTAAACTGTGTCCCAAGTTTTGACTATTTGGTCATCTTAGTGAGTGTGGACTAGAAGACAAGTATACCCGTGCCAGAGAGAAACATGCTTGGGTACACATTTGAAGTCCGACTCCTTCGGGCAGGGGGAGTCTCACTGGGGATTAAGCTGCTGAACTTGCATGTTCCAAACAAGGCTCAGGTATCACGTCATTCCAGAACATGGAAAAATCAAGAACACAAAACGCTAGAAGCAAACGGCTGTGTTCAGCGTCGCTGACACGCAGCACAAGAGAATCTTGGAGGAGCCATACCTTTCTAACATACCTTCTAAAGAGGATATTGTAAAAGCGTAGGCAATCTGGTGAAGTGGGTGCGAGTTCTTTGGAAAACGTGATTGTAACCATCACAGTTTCATTTCCTACCGTGTTGAAGAATTTTGTTATCTGAGGTAAGGAAAAACAGAAAAGGTCCAAATGTTGTCACATACAAAAAAAAACTAAGCTCCACTGCGCATGAAATAACTGACTTGGCTGCCCACCACGATGGAGCAGCCTTTCCCACAGGTGCACGCAGAGCATGCGGTTCACAGGAGTTGCAATATTTACGTTGCAACTTCTATAAATTACTATTTTAGTATAGAGATTTATGGAAGAAGAGAATGAGTACTTCTCCAAGTTTTTTTTTTTGGGGGGGCTGACATTTTGGAGGAAAAAAAAGCTATCTGAAACTTTATTGCCAGCATTTGAGGCACACCATGCTGCCAAGTTCTAGTTAAGCACTGACATTAGAGGCATCGAGTGTCAATCATCAAGTATGGTGCATAGCTTTTGTTAAAGTCGTATTGTCAAGATCCTTCGGACATCTCTACAAACTATTATATAGAAACAATGGGAGTCTTACATTAATAGTAAAGTGAAAATGCAAGAGAAAGAACAAAGGAAAATGTCAAATAATGTCACTTAACCGGCTCTCGTAGTTCATGAGGTAGTAATAAAGAGTTTCCATCAAATATATAGTATTCCCCAATTTTGTCATGTTTAAGTAAAGCTGTACGGAGATTTCTGCCTTCTATGCCGGGCTGGTAGTTAACGTTGTACTGATATGCTGTCCGCTGGGCCCGAGACGTCACTCGAAAATGGTTTGCGAGTAGTCTTACTTTTGTACCCTCTGAGCCTGCAAAATTGTGCCATGTGCCAATAATGAAAAAGTGACTGATTGGATCCAAACAGTCTGGACACTATAATATTAAAAGCCAAAGTTAGGTCAAACAAGGAGATAAACAGATATCGGTATGCACCTCATATCCAGAATGCCTATCAATTTAGGTGAATGCAAGTATCCATTAAGTTTAAATGACATTGAAATATTTAACAAAAGTAGATTAACAACAAAACCTTTATGGAAAAGGGTCACTGTATAATGATATTAAAAAACCTATCTCTGTGCAACCAAAGAACTGGGTCATTCTATTTTAGGAGCTAGAAAGGAAAAGAGTCCATCTAGGATTCTAAAACAGATTGTCATTTCTGCAGAGGTGAATATCATCACAGAAACATGTGAGGATGAGAATGAGGTACCTCTACTTACAGTGATGGGGTGAAGCTTTATAGACTCTCTATAGAATCTCTTAAATATGAAGTTCTTATCAAGCATAAAACAGCTGCATGACATTGAGTTGTTAGTCTGGCATACCTGTTTTTGAGCATCGAACATGTTCCATCCCCTGCCTGGTATTTACCACCAGGTCTTGAAAAACAGTCCTTTGCTGCAGCGATACTTTCTTCGGGGCAGTTTCCTGAAGTTCTTCTATATTTGAGTAAGTGTAAAAGCCATGAATTTATACAGTAAAAAGGGAACTGTAAGTAGAAAGGGTATTTACCCCCAGATCTTAGGTAAAATGGGTAAGGTTCTTGGAGGTAAAAAAGATGCCGCCTAGGGATCCAAACCTTATTTCAGTGATGAGTTGCCAGAAAAAGGTAAGTCACTCAGAAACCTTTCCCAGCGAGTCCCACCAGCCCACAGCAGTGCTGCCTCAGCACTCATTCATTCCTGCTGCAGTATTTGCCCCGCTTATTTGTTCATGCTAAAAGATTCTAGAGACCTTGGTTCTGGCTCTACAGCTGTAAACCCATCCCCTGGAACTACACTGCCCCCTCGTGGGCATCAGAAAAATGCCACACGAGCAATCCATAAAAAATCCATGAAATTGGCTTTTTGTTTTGTTTTGGTTTTGCTCCCCCACCTGCCCCTACTTGAAATTAGCTTTTGATACACAATGACTGATCTAGCCTTTCTAGGTCAACTGAGGAAGGATCCTGTAGTATTATTACATCCTAAAGTCTATATACTATAGAATTAAGTATTTATTCTACAAAAATCAACGTTTGAATGACAGCCCGAAGCAGTCTTTCAGTAAGAAGTGGGCCGTTTTGAAAGAAAGAAATGCACCTGTTATGTGTAAATCTGGTACCCTTGAATGGTCAAGACAGTCCATGCCTTGGGTTACCACGATGGTTTTCTTCAAAATGTTATTTCTGGAAGCTCTTTCTGGTTTATAATGATCTTACAAAGCATTAATCTCTCAATTTCTATAAGAGACTGACTACAATTTTTTTTTTTTTTTGAGACAGAGTCTCACTTTTGTTGCCCAGGCTAGAGTGAGTGCTGTGGCATCAGCCTAGCTCACAGCAACCTCAAACTCCTGGGCTCAAGCGATCCTCCTGCCTCAGCCTCCCAAGTAGCTGGGACTACAGGCATGCGCCACCATGCCCGGCTAATTTTTTCTATGTATATTTTTAGTTGGTCAATTAATTTCTTTCTATTTTTAGTAGAGATGGGGTCTCACTCAGGCTGGTTTCGAACTCCCGACCTCGAGCAATCCACCCACCTCGGCCTCCCAGAGTGCTAGGATTACAGGCGTGAGCCACCGCGCCTGGCCAGACTAACTACATTTTACACTTAAAATTTAATACAATTTTGTCAAACTTTCAACTAGTTCCAGATACATCCACAGCAGTCAAACTCATTAAAAGTTTCAGTGGAAGAAAAACAGACATCCTGTATTGGCACTTGGTACACACCTGTACTTTACATGTATTTAATCACAACCTTTCAGACATGATCAGCTGACAAATGTTTTAATTTTATGTATTCAAAGGTATAGCTTCATTTTGTGGGTTCAGGATTTTATGTGATTTTGTTGTTAAAGTTATTTACCTACAATTTTTTTTTTTTAGTGTTTAAAGCTTTGACCCATCACAAGTTATTTTGCTGTGAGAGGCAAAGTGGAAAATCAGGTGTGAAGTTTAATTGCATTAGCTAAATCCTTGGCAAATGACAACATCCAAGCCTGCGTGCTCGCCTGTATAGGACGGCCGCCACCCGCGAGGACGACGCGACGTCGGCAAACACCGAGCTGGGCAAAGAGCCGCCCGACCTCTCAGCGCGGCAGTTTGAGTAGTCAGGGACATGGTGGCATTCCTACTGTTCCCACTTAACTGGGAGTTACCATATACAAATGTACTGTCCAAATTCAAAAGGCAATTACATCGAATTGGCCAGTCAATAGTAATCTCCTTTTCTTTGGGTTTTAAGACATAAGGTGGAGAAAACACTTCCTGCAGTGAATTATCTGGCTGTCAGGGAGAGAGGTAACAAGCTGCACATGGTTCTTGTCCTGCCAAACCTCATGGGAATCCTGAGGCTCTGTCTAGAACTGTCGCCATGGTGGACCTTCATGAGTTAAGCATTCCCTGCCTCCCCTCATATCCACCCTTCCCTCCTTTCACCTGGAGGCCCGGGTTGTGCTTCTGCTCCTCTTGGTGGCTCAGGCTCGACCACTGGGCCTTCCTCTCTGCGGGGCCGGAATCCAGCAGGCTGCTGGGCCTGCATGTTTTCCGAGATGGAAATAAGGAGTCGTGTTCCCTGTGTGTCTGTTTACCCTCCACATGGCACTCTCAGGGCCCAAAGCAAAGGACTGTCCTCTGCAGAGCTCACAGCCCAGGGACACAAGACAGATTTCAAGGAGACACTGTAGACAGCAGCTCGTGTGGTAACTAGGGAAACAAGGAAAAGCAGAACGAAACAAAGGAGAATCCGGACTTACTGGGAAGGGGGTCTGCGGGGGCAGGGCACGCCAGTCAGTGGGGCAGAGGTGGCCTCAGTGAGAGGGTGACACGGAATAAGTGACTTGAACAAGGTGGGTGAATTCACAAAGCTGCACAAGCCAGAAGTGGGGGGAGAGCACAGTGCCCAGGTAGGGTGTTCAAGGAAGAACACGGCAGCCAGTAGTGTGGCAGGAAGAGCGAGAGGGGCCAGGAAGGGGCCGCCGTGAGGAACTTGCCTCTGACTCCGACAGCCCGGGGGCCCTCCAGGGTGCTGGCCAGAGGAGCCACACGGACTGCTCAGTGTCTATGCTGGGGACAGACAATGAGACAGGAGGCCACTGCAGCGTCCAGCAAGGGCGTGGTGGTTTGGGCCAGAAGACGGGAGAGGTGGTGAGAAGCTGTCAGATACTGGATAGGTTTGGGGGAAAAGACCACACCCAACAGCGTGCCCTGGTGGCTTCTGCAAAGGGATTGAGGTAAAGAGGAGGATAGGAGGAACCCAGAGACTGTGGCCTGAGCACGTGGAAGAATGAAAAACTCCTTACAATGAAGGGTTTGACGTGACAGGGAGGGCAAGTGGGAGTCGGAGGTGCGGGAGGTTGGGTAGTGAGGGGGGTCTGGCTGGAGATACAAACGTGGGATCCTGTCCACCTACTAGACAGCGTTTAATTTAAGGCCTTGACGCTGGAAAACATCGCCAAGGCAGCGAGCGTATGCAGACGAGATGAGGCCCGAGGGCGTAGCGAGAGGGTGAGGAGGAGAAGCCCGCAAAGGAAAGAGCAGGGTGGCCAGTGGTGCAGGAGGCAGCCTAAACCCCAGAGCGAGTTTATCGAGGAGGAAAGAGGACTCTCCTATGCCAAGTGCAGGTGATGGGGCAGGTACCAGGATTGGCAAAGTAGAGGGAGATCCAGGGAAGGTTTCTTGCTGAACGGGAGTCAGCTCAATGGGATTGTGTGCAGATGTCAATGACTTAGGAGGACACACCTGCTGACCTGGGAGACAAGAGGGAGAGTTGCTGGAGAGAGGCCCCCAACAGAGGACTGGCTAAGGGGCTCTGGGTTTAAGCAGAGATATTTGCTGTAGGCAGAGCCAGTGCCCTGGAGTCTCAGGGGAGGGGCCCGACCAGGGGTTTAGGTGCTCACGAGTTTCTGACTTGGGAGTTGATGTCAAAGGCTGAGATTAGGACCGGGGAGAGGGTTGAGGTTTGAGGACACAGGAGGAGAAGAGGGGAGCAGTCATCAAAGCAGGATGAGTACATTTGGATGGTGTCACTTGGCTGCCAGGCAGTACCAGATGCCATTGGAGGTTGTCAAGCGAGACCCCCATCCTGGCTGCATAAGTGCGGAGCGGACGTGCAGTAAGAGAAGACAGAACTAGAGCAAGGATCACAAGTTCTAAACAAGACAGGAAATTCTGTCCAACTCAGGCTGTGCGAGTACTTTAATGAAGTTGCTCCTTTTGAGGTCACTTCCAAAGAGGGGGAGTCATTAGCTGAAGCAAAAAGTTTAGAATCTCTTGCATCCACTCTGGGTTGAAAGTAAGTCTGTTGCACATGTGAAAACCCCAGAAAGGACGCTGGCGCGAGCATGTCCAGGTACAAAGCCTCCCCATGCTGTTACCTACAGACTCTGGCTGTTCTTAAGAAATTTTTTTCTTAAGAAATTTTACTGGTTCTCACTTAGCAGGACCCCCCCACCCCCCACACACACTCTTTCAGCACAGGGATGCATCTTTTGCATAAAGGGAACAACGAATATTACCGGGCTGGCCGCGGCTGCTCCAGGGGCCACCTGCCGGCGGGTCTCCCTGGCGCGGGCTCTGCCGCGGGCGCGAGTCCTGGCCCTGCCGGTCATGGTGGCCCTGAGGGCAAGCAGCCCTGAAAGAACACGGTTCTGTCAGACGCCTCTGAAGCCGCCTAGTGTCTCGGTCAATTCGGCGTGAATCGCTTGTGCTCAGAGATCCTGTTAGAGGGTTTACCTGGCTCGTGATTCTGGCGGCTAGAAAGCCCAAGACGGGCAGCTCCCCGGGCGCGGCAGAGGGCAGCAGGGCGGGAGGAAAGCTGCGTGCCAGGAGAGAGAAACTGAGGAAGCCAGACTATTTATCGACCCACCCAGGCAGGAATGAATCCCAGTCACGCCAAGGGAGGACACGGTCCTGTCTCACCCAGGAATCTCCCCACCAGCGCCCCCGCCCACTGGCCCGCGCCCCCCGCCCAGCCCAGGAGCTCGCCTGCCCCCGCAAGCCACAGTCGCCGCCCCCGTCCCGCAGCCCAGCGAGCTCGCGCCCCCAGTCCCACGGCCCGCGCCCCCCCCGCAGCCAGCGAGCTCGCCCCGCTCCCCCACGCCCCTGCCCCCCCGGCAGTCCAGCAGCTCCCGCCCCCCCCCCGTCCCACGGGCCCCGCTGCTCCCCCCCCAGTCCAGCTGAGCCCGCCCCCCCGTCCCCACGGCCCGCTGCCCCCCCGCAGCCAGCGAGGCTCGCCGCCCCCCCCGTCCCCCACGGCCGCTGCCCCCCCCGCACCCACGAGTCGCGCCCCCCCGAGCCAGCGAGTCGCGCCCCCGTCCCCACGGCCGTGCCCCCCCCGAGCACAGCTCGCCGCCCCCTCCCCACGGGCCCGTGCCCCCCACAAGCCCAGCGAGCTCCGCCGCCCCCCCGCAGGCCCAGCGAGTCGCCGCGCCCCCCGCAGCCCAGCATCTCGCCGCTCCTCCTCCCCACGGCCGCCGCCCCCGCAGCCAGCGAGTCGCGCCCCGTCCCCACGGGCCGCTGCCCCCCCCCGCACCCGCAGCTCGCGCCCCCCCGCAAGCCAAGCGAGTCGCGCCCCCCGCAGCCCACGAGCTCGCCGCCCCGCAGCCGAGTCGCCGCCGACCCAGCGGCTCGCCGCCCCCCCGCAGCCAGCAGCCGCCGCCGCCCGCAGCCCAGGAGCTCGCCCCCCGGCAGCCAGCGAGCTCGCCGCACCCCCCCCACCCAGCGAGCTCGCCCCGCAGCAGCGAGCTCGCGCCTCCCCACCCGGCAGCCCACGAGCTCGCCGCCCCCCCACCCCGAGCAGCGAGCTCGCCCCCCCCGCAGCCACGAGTCGCCGCCCCCTCGCAGCCCAGCGAGCTCGCACCCGCAGCCAGCGACTCGCCGCCCCCCCGCAAGCCCAGCGAGCTCGCGCCCCCCCCCCCGAGCCAGCGAGCTCGCGCCCCGCAGCACAGCTCGCCCCCCCACCGGAGCTGGCCGGGGCTCACCGCCCTCGCCGGGGCTGGCCGGCCCCTTCCCGCAGGGCGCGAGCTTCGCGGAGCCGAGGCGCCAAGCCCGTCGGGGAGGCAGAGCGAAGGCCCGGCCCCCGTGGGACGCTCCGCACGCGTGCCAGCCCGGGCCGCCCCGCTTTCCATTTAAAGCCCCGCCGGCCCAGCCTCTACGGCGCCGCCTCCATCACGCCCAGCTGGGGCCAAATCGAGCTGCACCTGGCCGGTTCGGAAAGGCCCAGAAGGCTAGGTGAGATGGGAGTGAGGGCGGCTCTCCCTGCCTCCTCGTCTCACTATGTCTCACCCATTAACCGTTCCCGGATAGACCTGCCAGGTGACCTTACAAAACGAGGTTCACTTGGGCCCATATTGTGGCCATTTTTTAGCACTTAATAGCTTTAACCAAATCCTCGATGTTGCCAATATTATTCATGCAGCTGCCACAACCGCCCTTCGATCTAAATCTAGATGCATCCATAATCATCTCCTTAGATTCCCTGTGACTCTTAAGCTGTTAAGTATTTTGGATCTTTTTTTTAAAAAAAGTATGTCTGTTAAATTCATTTTTTCATTGATTGCTTCCAGGCTTCTGTCAGACTTACTTCGGCCTTGCCAGTTAAGTTTTTTTCTTTTTAATCACCAATTCTTTTAATATTTTTACGGTTGCTTTGTTTTGTAGCCAAATCCTTGATGCATGCACTGAATACACGTTGAATTAAGAGACAAGTGTTTAATAGTTATCAGACACCTTTTCTTGGCTCATCTTTATTTTACTGCTTTGAAATGCCAGCATTATCCTACAGAAACCTGTGTGTGTCATTGGCTGTCCTTGTAAACTCAGTTGTATACTGTCTGTGGTGCACCAACAGGACCTTGTTTCATTTACTATGTCTTGAAAATATTCTAAAGACTAGAAAAACCTGGACCTGCGAAAGCCTTGAAAATTCCCGGCCACTTGTTTTTCAAATGAACTCATTGCGTTGGACTCCAGAATATAATAAACTCTGCTATCCTGTTAATGGGGGCTTGTATCAATTTTAGACACTGGTTTAGATCCTCCAACTTGCAGAGTCCTCAGAGATTTTCCTGAGAAATCCTTGTGGCCATAAGTGATTCCAAGGAAGATGCCTGTCGTGTTCAGGTCAATGCTAAGAGTTTGTCATAGAAACCAGCCTTAAATGTCTGCTGGGGACTGGCTGTTCTGCGTTTTCCGGTTTAAGAGTCTAGTTCATCTTGAGGGGGTAAACCAAGAGAGGTGAAAAAGAGGGCAGGGGAGAAAACTCCGGGGCCGTGGATTAGGTGAGACGCTCTCAGTGTCCTGCCCAGAGCCTGTGTGCGGCAGGTTCTCACTGTTTTTGAACCTGCATTGATCACACGTGGAGTGCATCTACTACCTCATGACACCTGGGCCACTAGTAGGTCACCTTTAATGTCTGTGAGGAAAGTTGTGCGTACAGTTTTGCTGCCCACCGGTCTTACAGGTCGTGTGATAGATTTATCCTTGGGCACGATGCGGTTTATATCTGTGTGTGCTGGTCTCTCGCCAGTGGATGGTGAGGGCCATGAGGGAAGGGACATGGCCTGTTCTTTCACAGTTCCCTCTCCATTGCATGCAGTGGTGCATGGCAAACAGTGTTCAATGACTATGTGAAGAGAGAATCAGTGGATGGACAGTTAAATTTAATAATGAATGCAATAGCAAATCAAGTCTACCTTACAACTCTCATAGACAACCCCAAATGACACAGAGTTCTGATTGTCCTTAGTTCTGAAGGGACAAAATGCAGGAAACTGCTGATCTTTGTGGGCCATAAGGAGAGGAGGGCAGTGAAAGAAAAACTGGTGTGTGTGAGCTGGTAAAATGAGGATACACAGGCAAAAAGCAGATTACTAAACACAATTGGATATTTGTAGATCAGATGTATGTCAGAAATATATCAGGTATGCACGTGTTTGTTTATTCATTTACACCTGCAATGAAAAAACATTCACACACCAAATAAACCTAATAAAAGGCAACTTACGGAAAAGCGTAATGAAACTGAAGGTGAAAAAATACATAAAAGTAATAACAATGAGGAAGTGGTTCTTTAAGAAACCAATATAATAGCTAAACCACCATGCAGCCCAATTAAGGCAGAAAAGGGAAATCACAAAGTTGAAAAGAGAATGAAGAAATGGCTACAGAGAGGTGAAGTGGGGATAATTATCAGAGAATCATTAGCATGCTTCTGCAAATTAATGAAGAAACCTGGGTAAAATGAATAGTATTCTACCAAAATAGGCTGCAGAGAGATCTGCCTTTCCCGCCCTATATGAAACCACACCTGGCAGTCTCTCCCCTTCCCTCCTTGATCTTCCCCCTCCTCACTGAGTGACATGTTAATAACACCTCATGACCAACTGAGAAGAAACTGAAAAACTCATGTAAGAACAAAAACTGATGTAAGAAAATACAGAAATGCTTAATATCATGTCTATCGATGAAACTGAATTTATAATTAGAAACATTTTTTTTTTTTTTTTAGGCAAGACTCTGTTGCCTGGGTTAGAGTGTGGTGGCGTCAGTCTAGCTCACTGCAACTTCAAATTCCTGGACTCTAGCAATCCTACTGCTTCAGCCTCCAGAGTAGCTGGGACCACAGGCATGCGCCACCGTGCCTGGCTAGTTTTTTCTATTTTTAGTAGAGATGGGGTTTCACTCTTGCTCAGGCTAGTCTTGAACTCTGGACCTCAAGCAATCCGCCTGCCTGGGCCTCCCAGAGTACTAGGATTACAGGCGTGAGCCACTGTGCCTGCCCTGAATTTGTAATGAGGCGCTTTCTTACACACACACACACACACACACACTCACACACCCTTGGGTTTACCTTGTGATTTTATTAAGTACTTATGAAAGAAATAATAAAAGTATTACAAATATTATTTCAGAAAACAGGAGGGAACAGGTTTTGCTTATTTTATGAGGCCAGTATTGCTATCATACCCAAACCAGACAGAGATATTACAAGAAAAGAAAACTATAGACAAGTTTCCTGTGAGAGGGACACCATGCGAGGCAGTCTATAAACATTCCTGACCACTTCTCCTGGGGCACCATCAGGGCAGGACTAGAGTTTAAACACTAGTATAGATACTCCAAATTGCACAGTCCTCTAAGATTTTCCTAAAAATCTCTCTGTAGCCACTCTTTAGAGCGAGACCTCAAAGCCAAATCAGTGGAAATCACAACATCCCCACGTTGATGGTCCACGCAGCAGCCAGAGTAATCCCTTGAAATCAACCCTGCTTAACCTTCCAGTAAGGCCCACTGTACTTTCTCAAACACCTACCTATTTTGCCACGGACTGAATGTCAGTATTGTCCCCCCAAAAAAGTTACATTTTGCTACCCTAACCCCTAATGTGATAGATATTTGTTGCTGGAGACTTTGGGAAGTGAATAGGGCTAGATTAATTCACGTGGGCAGAGCCCCTGTGGTGGGACTAATGTGCTTATGAAAAGAGAGAGACAGGAGACCTCCCTTTGTGCGTGCACCAAAGGAACGGCCACTTGAGGACGTGTCCAGGAAGAGGGCCCTCACCAAGAAACTGACTGTCATGCACCCTGATCTCAGACTACTGGCCTCCAGAACTGTGAGAAATATTAGTTGGTTTAAGCCGCCCAGTCTGTGGTGATCTGTTACAGTGGCCTGGGCCGATGGAGACAATAATTGGTACCAGGAGTGGGATGGTGCTACAGCAAGGACCTAAGATGTGGAAGTGGCTTTGGAACTGAGTAATGCACAGAGAGTGAAAGATTTTTGAGGTTCATGCTAGAAAAAGCCAAGAAGATGGTTTGAAAGGCAATTCTGATGAGGGCTCATAAAGAAAAGAGGAGAGCTGAAGAGAACACTTCCAGCTTCTTAGAGACTCCATAAACAAGCTTGTCAGCAGAAATATGGACAGCAAAGGCCCTTCTGACAAGGCCTAAGACAGAGACAAGGAGCATGTTACTCGTCAATGGAGAAAAGGCAATCCTTGTTATAAAGTGGCAACAAATTTGGCAAAATTGTGTTTGCATTTCTGTGGAAGGTAGAAATTGCAAGTAATAATATTGGATATTTAGCTGAGGAGATTTCTAAGCAAAGTGTTAAATGAGCAACTTGGTTCCTCCTGACTGCTTACAGTAAAATGCAGGAAGAGAGGTAGGAATTGCTAAGCAAAACAAAACCAGAACATAAAGATTTAGAAAATTCTCATCCTATCCACATTAAAATATTGAGAAATCATGCTTGCAACAGAACACTGCAGGGGGGCTGAGCCACCATTCAGTGAGGAGTTTAGTGCGGGTGTGAACCGCGGCCCTAGTCAGAAATCTCAGCAGAAGCCCCTCCTGCCCACCTGCTGGAGGCAGGGATTGCAGGCCTCAGTTCCCAAAAAGAGTGGGGAAGTTTTAAAGAGCCAGGAAACATATTTTGTGTATTTTTTTTTCTTTTCCAGGCCTTTCCCTCTGTTGTGTATTCCCTCCATCTCAATTTGGTGGCAAGATCTAGTGAAGAAGGTGGCTACATAAATAGATTTTTAATGTAGATGAAACAGCCATCTATTATAAGATGCTATCTTGGACTTTTACGGCTATGAAGGAGAAGTCATGCCTCCTTTCAGAGCTTCAGAGGACAGGCTGACTGTCTGGTTAGGGGTAGTGCAGCTGGTGACTTTAAGTTGAAGCTGGTGCTCATTTACCATTCTGAGTACTCTTAAGGGCTTTTAAGAGTTATGCTAAGTCTACTCTACCTGTGCTCTGTCAGCGGCACGCAAAGCCTGGAGGACAGCACGTCTGTTTACAACATGGCTTGCTAAGCATTTCAAGCCCACTGTTGAAAGCTACTTCTCAGAAAAAAAGATTCCTTTGAAAGTATCACTGCTCGCTGACAGTGCACTAGGGCACCCGGAACGTGGATGGAGGTACTGACGGAGATTCCTGCTGCGTCCGTGCCTGACAGCACAAAGTCCATTCTGCAGACCACAGGTCAAGGAGCCATTTTGACCTTCAAGGCTTATTATTTAAGAACTACATTTTATAAGGCTATAGCTGCCAGAGATAGTGATTGCTCTGAGGGCTCTGAGCA